GAACTCGGATTTCTGCCACCTTTAGGTGTGTGCTTGAGTGGAGGCCCCAGGTTAACATCACGCTTCACCTTTCCCCCAGTCTCTCTGAACTTAGAGCTTGCTGATGCAGCTGTCTTGGCCCGCAATCCCCAGGGTTCCTCTTGTTTCTGATTCTTATGCTGGAATTATGGGTGTGTGCTGCTGTGCTCTGCAGTTTTTAAAATCTGAGTGTGGGAGATCCAGTTCAGGTTCTCATGCTTACATGTCTAGCTCCCTATGGTTTCCTACTGAGACAGCTTGCCTGGTTGTCTCTGGTTTTGAACGGTGCTTGTTTGGGTCCATATTCATGAAAGTACCACAGATCTGTCTTCTTGAAATCAGTTGCTTTTCTGTCTCTGTCACACTTCTCATGGGCTGAATTTGCATCCTGTTGCTTGCCTGGTTCTGAATCCTAGTCCTTGTCTACCTGTTTAGGGATTGGAGGTGGTGTTGTTAGGGCTCTGGTATTTGCGTCAGTAGTTAGGATAGGGCTGGAGGGATAGCTCAGCCCTTAAAGGCTAGGCTCACAACCAAAAGTATAAGAGTAGTTAGGATAGCACCACCTGCTGCTTGGTGAGGTTCTGTGTGCTCAGTTAGCCAGGCTGCTGCCGCCTCCTTTTGTTTAACCGATTTTCACAGTGAATTGATTGGCTCGTCTTTTGACCCAATTATGCCCTCAGACTGAAGCATGCCTGATGAGTTTGATGCAGTTCCTGTAGACGTGCTGCAGCAGACTTGGATAGTTACTCTGTTCTCAGCCATGGCGCTGTGCGCTACACTCTGCTGACACTCTTTTTTTTTTTTTTTTTTTTTTGGTTTTTCGAGACAAGGTTTCCCTGTGGCTCTGGAGGCTGTCCTGGAACTCCCTTGGTAGACCAGGCTGGTCTCGAACTCACAGAGATCCGCCTGCCTCTGCCTCCCGAGTGCTGGGATTAAAGGCGTGCGCCACCACCGCCCGGCTGCTGACACTCTTCAGCTTCACACCGTCCGTCTTGCCTCTTTCAGCAGCACCACAGCTGGGGGGGTTTTCTTCCAGGCCTCCTAATGCTCTGGTAGCTTCCTTTCTCTCACACAGTGCCCTTGAAGGAATTCCAAACCATGGCCACAGCTACAAAGTTAGCCATAGTCCCTTTCCTTCCCTTCCTTTCCATTTTCTTCTTTTGAAGCAGTCATATAACCCAGACTGGCCTTGAACTTGCTCTATAGCTAAGGGTAACTGAACACCTAGTCCTCCAAGTGCTGGGATTTCTCTCTTTCTCTCCCCGTGTCCACAGTTGGTTCTGCTTTTGATATTTTAAAACTACTTTGTTTGTTTTTCTTATACTGGGGATTGAACTCAGGGGCCTTGAACATGCTGGGCAAGTAATCTACCACTGAGCCACACTCCCAGGCTTTTGTTTGTTTGTTTGTTTGTTTGTTTGTTTGTTTTGAGACAGGCTTTCACTGTAGCCTTGACTGTCCTGGGACTTGGTCTGTAGATCAATCAGGCTGTCCTCGAACTCACACAGAGATCTGCCTGCCTCTGTATCAACCTGCGCGGACCATCTTTTAATTCTTTCTAAAGATTCCAGCTTTTAGCAGCACATAGACTGGTGGAATCCAAATGTCTGTTATTTCATACTGCTCTCCCAAAGCTTAGTGATAATCCAGCTTTCTCCCTTAGGAAGTCACTTGATTTTTATGTATGTTTAAATGATTTTTTTCCTTTGAAGTTCAAAATTTTCACAGACTAAAAGTCTTGGAGTAGGTCTTTGATGTCTTTAAGTACCTAGTATTGTACTTTCAGTGTATAATTAATTTAAAAAGATTTTATTTTTAAGATTATGTATTTGGCTGGGCTCTGGAGGTAGAGGCAGAGGAATCTTTGAGAGTTCAAGGCCAGCCTGGTCTACAGAATGAGTTTCAGGACAGTCAGGGCTACATAGAGAAATAAAATAAATATTATGTTTGTGTGTATGTGTCACATGTATGTGGGTGGGTGGCCCTCATAGGACAGAAGAAGGCATCAGATCCCTTGGAGATGGAGTTATAGGTGGCTGTGATTCACCTGATGTGGGCACTAGGAACTGAGCTCAGCTCCTTGGAGCAAGGAGCACTGGTAACTATTGTGCCATTTTTCCAGCCCTTCAGTTTTAATTTTTAATTATACGCGTGCGCGCGCGCACCTGTGTGTGTGTGTGTGTGTGTGTGTGTGTGTGTGTGTGTGTGTGTGTGTGTGTGTGTGTGGTTAAGTGCAGGTGAATGTAGGTGCTGGCAGAGGTCAGAAGGCAGCAGATCCCCTGGAGCAAATGTTACATGGGGCGTGGCTGAGTTTGGGTCTCCTATAAGAGCAGTGTGCTCTTGTAAACACTGATCTATCTCTCCAACTCTAATTGTCTTTTGTTTTTTGAGACAGGGTCTCTCTGTGTATCCCTGGCTGTTCTGGAACTTGCTGTGTAGACCAGGCTGGCTTTGAACTCAGGGATCTTCCTGCCTCTGCCTCCCAAGTATTGTGGTTTTGTTTTTTAATTCTAGGGAGTTTTCCTTGAATATTTTCAGTATTGTGTTTCTTTGCTTTAATTTTCTTCTCTGAGGCTTCTGTTGGATCTCATTTGTCTCACTTTAAGATTTATCTTAAAATTAAAAAAATAATGTTGTATATTGTGTCTGTGCATGTGTTTCTGTGTGTGTTTGTGTGTGTGTGTGTGCAGGCTTGTATGTGCTGTGGCATGTGTGTGGAGGTCAGAACAACTTGAGGGAGTTGACTGTGTCTTTGTACTGTGGAGATCAAACTCAGGCTATCAGGCTTGATGACATTTTTACCTACTGATCCATCTTGCTGGCATATTTATCTTTTTCTCTTGATTCCCTTTTAGACCCTTTTATTATTTTTAAGAGCTTTGGAATATGATTTGTATACCATGAAATTGCCACCATTCTATGTGTGGTTCAGGGTTTTCTAGGAAGTCAGTACAACAGGTGCAGCTGTTGCCATACTGTAGTTTTTACACTTTCACATCGTCCAGATGCCTCCGGTTGTCAGGCTCTTTACCACTCTGCAGTTCTTCCAGTTGCATTCATTCTAGAGGACAACATCTACTTGCATTTTTAATTCTCATCCTCTGCATGGCTAAGACTGCTGAATGTCTTTTTATGTGCTTAGCACCATTTATGTGTGTGTGTGTGTGCACAGTTATGTGTGTATTTTTAAGACAGGGTTTCATTGTGTTGTCCAGCCCAACTTAGAAGTCCTGGACTCAAGTAGTTATCATACCTCAACTTCTAAGAGCTGGGACTATAGGTGTGTATTAATACACCTATAGTTTTGTGTTTGCTTATTTATTTTTGTGTGTGCATGTTTGTATGTGCATATGTATATGTGGTTACATGTGCACATGTGTGTGGAGGCCAGAGGTTGTTGTTGGGTATCTTCCTTACTCCCTCCCCAATCTCTCTCTCTCTCTCTCTCTCTCTCTCTCTCTCTCTCTCTCTCTCTCTCTCTCTCTCTCTCTCTCTCTCTCTCTCATGTGATACACTTATATGTATGTGAAGGCCAGAGGAGGACTTTGGGGATCCTATGTCCTGCTCTATGACTCTTCACCTAGTCCCTTGAGACAGAGTCTGTCCCTGAATCTGGAGTTAGCCTGGTGCCAACAAGCCCCAGTGATGCTTCTGTCTCTGGGCGCCCTCAGCACTGGGGTTACAGGTGTGTGCAGTCATGTCTAACTTTTTATGTGGATGCTTGGGACTTAAATCCAGGTTCTCATGCCTGCTTAGCAAGCATTTGCCCCCGCGGAGCCATCTTCCTGGCTCTACCACCTTAAGTTTCTGAGACAGGTTCTCTCACTGAACCTGGAGCTCACCAGTTTGGCTAGAGTGGCCAGGGAGCCCCAGGGTCCCCGGTCTGCTTCCCCGGTACTGGGATTGCAGCTGCACGCTGTTACAACTTGCTTTGTATGTAAGTGCTGGATGCTAGGATGGAACTCATGTCCTCATGCTTGCATGGCAGGCACTTCACCAACTGAGTCATCTTTCCACCTCTGTTTGTAGAGGTCTCACTACTTATGTTTTCTTTTTCCTTTTCAATTAGGATTCATTTGTACATTCTAGATTCAAGTCCTTTATACACGATTTGCAAATATTTTCACTTTGCTTTGCCATTTATTTTTATTTTATTAATGTTGTATTTGATCCCCCCCCCTTTTTTTTTCTTTTTGGTTTTTACGAGACAGGGTTTCTCTGTATTGTTTTTGAGGCTGTTGCTCCAGCCTGGCCTCGAACTCACAGAGATCCACCTGCCTCTGCCTCCCGAGTGCTGGGATTAAAGGTGTGCGCCACCACTGCCCGGCTTTACCCCTTCTTTGATTGGGTCTTCTCTGTAGCCCAACTTGTTGTGTAGCCCAGGCTGGCATTGATTTTAAATAGTTCTCTACTGTTGCCTCTGGATTGCTGTCAGCCAACCCATCCTGCTTGCCATAGTTTTATGTTTTGATGAGATTCCACTCATCTTTGGCAATATAATTATGTCTTCTTTCAAAAAAACTGTGTCCATTGTAGCATACATGTGCAGGTTATCTTTCTTCCGTTTGAGAGAGTGAGAGTGAGAGAGTGAGAGGGTCTGTCTGCCTCGGTTGTTTCCCACGAAGGCACTGCTGCTGCTGAGGAAGCTCATGTCAGTAAGAACATTCTAGAATAGTCCCTACAATGTCAAATTCCTGATATTCTCAGCAGGGAGCTCAGCTGTCATCTTTCTGAGAACCAGGGTGTTATTCCCAAGGTTAAGAATACTCACTGCTTCTGGCAGATTCCTCCAGGATGCCTGTCGCCTGTGGCTGGAGCACTCGGAATGGCTGCCTCTGCTTCCTTGCTCGGAAGTGTCAGTGGCTTTCGGGCTCTGAACTGTGTGAGCAAGCTGCTTTGTAGATAGTAAAAGGGGTCAGTGCCCTTTGTCCCCTGCCAACTGTGGAGGCTGTGGGTAACACATTCTCATTTATCCATTGCAGGTGAAGGACTTAACTCAATACCTGGACCCCAGTGGGCTTGGCGTGATCAGTTTTGAAGACTTCCACCAAGGGATTGTGGCTATCAGAAATGGAGGTAGGTCAGCTGGCTTCCCGCTGTGCCCCAGCACCTTTCTCCTCAGTGCTCTTAACTATCCATGGTTCCCCAGCTACATGTACTTCTGCGTAGGCTGATCTGAACTCAGAGATCTACCTGCTCTGCTTCTCAATAGCCGGGCAGTGGTGGCGCACGCCTTTAATCCCAGCACTCGGGAGGCAGAGGCAGGCGGATCTCTGTAAGTTCGAGACCAGCCTGGACTACCAAGCGAGTTCCAGGACAGCCTCCAAAGCCACAGAGAAACCCTGTCTCGAAAAACCAAAAAAAAAAAAAAAGATGTGCACCATAAGACCCGTCTCAGGCCATTATTCTTGAACTCCCAAAACATTTGACGTTCAAGATATTCTCCTCTTCCCTGTTTGTTCTTGAAACCCTGCCCTCCACGATTGAAAGGCTCTCAACTGCTTATTTACAGTGTGGAGAGCTACTTTCCTTTTCCAACATTTCATGAGGAAAATTAAAAAACAAAACAAAACTGAAAAAGAGTATAGTTCTTATATATTCCCTACCTATTCAGTACTGAGGACAGCTTGCTGTGTGTGCTGTGTGCCCCGTTCATCCCTCCTTCCATTGTCTACAGTTTATCTCTTCAGTGGCTTCATTCAGCTTGTTATATTGTGCCCTTTCCACTAATGCTCTGTGTGCATCCTGATCATCATCTAGAGTTCAGCATTTATTCAGAGGCTTTTGTTTTAAAGCAGAAATGGACCTATTGTGAAATGCGCAAATCTTAAGTGTAGCAGTTTGAGTTGTGACAGTTTCCTGAGCTTGATTCTCAAATCTCTAATAAGACTGTCATGCCAAGTTGATCCCACCCTTTTTTTTTAAAGACTTATTTTATTTTTATGTGCATTTGTTGTTTTGCTTGCATGTATGTGTGAGGATGCCAGTCCCCTTGAACTGGAGTTACAGGCAGTTGTGAGCTGCCATGTGGGTGCTGGAAATTGAACCTGGGTCCTCTGGAAGAGCACCCAGTGCTCTTAACTACTAAGCCATCTCTCCAGCCCTCCCACCTTTTTATCAACCCTATGCTGTTTTCTGCTCCTGTACATTAGTTCTTCAGTTTTCCCTCAGTGTGCCTCTTAGATCCACCTGTAATTTGCATGTGGCTATGGCTGTTTCCTGATGTGGAATGGTGGCTTATTGTGATGGGGCATCTAGCTTATCTAGCTTTTGGGATGTTTGAGTAGGGTTTTGCAGAATGTCTGTGTACAAGCTTTTGTGTAGATACATGTTTTCCTATTTTTGTGTTCTGTGCTTAGGCTCTGGGTATTTGGCCATGTGCTGGATATATCTTTAGTGTCTCACAGTGGACATGCCATTTTACACTTACCAGTTAGTCCATCTAATGTCCTTTTGACTCAGATTCTGCAAGTATGAAAAGAGCTTTTCAGTCGGGTGGTAGTAGCCCACACCTTTAATCCCAGTACTTGGAAGACAGGTGGATCTCTGTGAGTTCGAGGCCAGCCTGGTCTACAGAGAGTTCCAGGACAGCCAAGGCTACACACAGAAAAATCCTGTCTCTGGAAAAAAAAAAGCAAGCATGAAAGCCATGAGCTTTTCATTTCTCTGTCATCTGCCATAAGGTCTGGGGTTGGTGGTGCTGGGGTATGTTAGCTGCAAGCTTGTTGCCTCCTTGCTTATCAAGTCTTGCCTGAGAGGATCTGTAGTTACCAGGTGAGATCAGATCGTCCTTGGACCTGAGGTCTCAACAGCTGTCTTGTCTGTTACCACCCCTAAATTATTACTGACAGTGTCACTAGGACTGAGTTTCTAAAATACTGAGTCCTCAAATGGTTCTAGAGAAAGCAGTTGTGTTTTGTCACCTGTGTTACTCTTTGACTGTTTTTCACCCATAAATCTGTTATGGAACCAGCCCTAGGGATGAAGTGAGCCAGCATCAAAGTGAGACCAGTGGATGGGGACAAGAAGGCAGACGGGTGAGGCCCACTGTTGTCTAGGCAGTAGGCAGGACTCAGACTACCATGCAGGCCAGCCTCTCTAGGGAGGAGCAGGAGAGAGAAGGAAAGCATGGGTACCAGGAGAGGCACGCCTGAGCCAGGTCAGCAGTGAGCCAGCCTGTGTGGTGGGGGAATGCACCAGGAAGCAGGGCCAGAGTGAGGGTCCAGTGACTTTTCCAGTGAATAGGACTTGGGGAGAGGTAGGCACATAAGGGAGCAGAGCTAAGCACAGGGGCCTTGGTAGGGAGTGAGGAATGAGATGGAGACCACCCAGGATAAATGCAGTCCCTAGACTGAGCCATTTCTGCCCACTGTTAGCCTGACTTCTAAGTGACAGATGGCAAGTCGTTAGATTTTCTTTTTTTTAAGATTCCATTTTTTCTGTTATATGTATTTGTGTGTATGGGTGTAGTATGTGCCTGTGAGTTCAGGTACCCATGGTGGCCAGAAGAGGGTGTCAGAACTCCTGGAGTCCCTTCATCCATCAGTTTTGTTTTTTTAACCTTGATTTTTAAATTTTTTTTTTAATCTTGGCATTAAACCAGGAATGGTGGCAACTGCCTGTAATCTGAGTATTTGGGAGGCTGAGACAGGAAGATTGTCAAGAGCTTGAGGCTGGCTACACAGTGATGTATGTAGTGAGTTCTTCATAGTGGGTAACAGTGGGCAACTCTGCCTCAGAGGACCCCCCTTCCCCCAATACCCTAAAACTCATGGGAAGTATTTGGGGATGTGGTGGGAGGTGAGACAGCAGTCTTAGAGTCAAGCATTATTGGGCTCCTTGTCACCATCAGCCTTTCACATGGGTCGTCTAGCCGTGGACACATGTGGTAAGTCACACGAAACAGGTAATGGCTGTCACCCTGGAAGTTTTGTTGGAAATGGGCAATTGTTTGTCATGGCTGCCATTTCATTATAGATATGTTACATAATGTCCCGTTTCCCTTGGAACCACAGAGGTGCGGAACACTTAGCTGATCAGTATTACCCAGTCTCTGCTTGTCAGGCTCTGAAGTTTGCTTTTTACCATCTAACCAGTATTCCTAGTCCTGTCTCCACAGGTGGGAGGGAGGTATGCTGTTTGTACTCTCAGCCCCAGGCTGCTCTGGGTACCATCAGGGTGGATCAGGGAGAGTTTGTTGGTTTGATCAGATTCAATTTGCACAAACCTCTTCAAGCTGGGAGGAACAGCAGCCGGGCCTGTGGGGAGGTGGGAAGAAATCTACATAGCAAGAGATGTCTGTGTGATATGATTCCTCCGTGGCTGCTAGTTAGTATGTTCTGCTGGACCTCAGTTATTGTGAAATGGTGAGCTCTCTGCCGTGGGTATCCTTGTATCTTGACTTGGAAGGTCTCATCCCTATCCTCCGGCCTTCTATGCTCTTCAGGGTCAGCTTCTCTCTGTATGAGGGCTTGCTAGCTGGTGACCATGGCTCTCTTCTGAGTGCCTGGGTCTTGGTTTAATGACTGAAGGAGAATATAGATGTTTTTTACCTCTGATGACAGCAAACAATTGTCTGAGAATGGCTTATCACACCAATTCTACTCCAGTATGCCAGGTGAGACTCATTCCTGAACTTACCATGTCCCCTTGCCTTTCCTGGACTGATTAGAGGCACTGGGTGCCCTGTGTCCTTTCTGCCAGGGACCTGGAAGGTGCTCCTTTTCTCCTGCCTTCTGCGAGGAGCCATTTCCTGGCCCGTTTTTGGTAGACCCCACCTGTAAACCTAGCCCTGCCCACTCTCTGCTGTTTCTGTCCATTTTCCTGTTAACCCAGCCCTGCCCACTCTCTGCTGTTTCTGTCCATTTTCCTGGGATTCCGTTTTGTTACTGCTTTGGTTTCCTTTTCATTGTTTTTTGAGACAGTGTCTCACTATGTAGCCCTGGCTGGCCTGAACTTGCTATGCAGAGCAGTCTGGCCTTGAATTCACAGAGATCCATCTCCTTTACTTCCTGAATGCTAGAATTAAATGTTGGTGGGGTTTTGAGACCAATTAATTCATGTAGCCCAGATTGGCCTCAAACTTGCTGCATAGCCAAGGATGGCCTTGCACTTTTGATCCCTCTGTCTCTGTCTGCCAACTGTTAGAATTGCTGATGAGCTTTACCACTCCCACCTAGGCTGTTTTGTTTGAGACAGGGTCTTACTCTGCAGCCTTGGCTAGCTTGTTTATTCACTGTATAGCCCATGGTGGCCATGAAATCACAGCAATTCTACATACCCTCCAAAGGGTGGAGTGACAGGTGTAGCACACCCACCTCTGAAAACATTACTCTGTAGAGTTGTAGCAGATAGATAAGCGTATAATTGTAGGCAAGTAATACAATCTCTGAAGCAGGGAATAAATAAGTATGTGTAATTCCAGCATTCAGAACTGGGGTATTTTTTTGTTTGTTTTTGAGACAGGGTTTCTCTGTTTAGCCCTGGCTATCTTGATACTTGCTCTGTAGACCAGGCTAGCCTTGAATTCAGAGATCTGCCTGCCTCTGTGAGTCCTCTCCCCTGTGGAGATTAAAGAAATATGCTGCCACCACCACCCAGCTTTGGGGTTAATTTTTTATTTCATCATTTTTTGCATTATTTTTAATTAATATCTTCACTTTGATTTAATTGGGAGTATAAATCTCCCAGCTAGTTGTTAGAAATAGTTTGATGCAGCCGGGCGGTGGGGGCGCACGCCTTTAATCCCAGCACTCCGGAGGCAGAGGCAGGGGGATCTCTGTGATTTCAAGGCCAGCCTGGTCTACAGAGCGAGTTCCAGGACAGCCTCCAAAACAATACAGAGAAACCCTGTCTCGAAAAACCAAAAAAAAAAAAAAAAAAAAAAAACCCAACAAAACAAAAAAGAAATAGTTTGATGCTTCAGAGTCTCAACCTGATACCACATGGGGGGACATTGCCTTGAGTTCAGCTTGTGCAGAGCAGATGCTGCACCTGGAGGATGGCCTGGGCCTCCCTGGTGGGGTCTTACTGGGGGTGAGCTGTGGGGAGCTGCAGAGATGAGGGTAAATGAGGCAGACCTGTGCTAACTACTCTGGAGACCAGAACAGAGTCTTTGCCTTTGATGCTGGCTTTCTGGTGGGAGACAGATAGATGATGATGAGTCTAGGGGGTGTGGGAGTGAGTCAAGGGGGGCACCAGACAGGGGTGTCTTGAAGGTATGCACCTGATATGCTTGGGGCTGTAGGGGAGGTGGGAGCAGAGGTAGAGGAGTGACCAACGGAGATATCAGCTTTCCAATGGGGTAGTGGCAGGACTTGGCTTTTTCTGTGACAGCAAATTTGATAATTCTCCCCCAGCCTAGGCCATGAGGGGTATTCAGTGGGACAATCCCCTGCCTCAGCCATCCTGCCAGGACATTGAGGGAACTACCCAGTGCACCTGCTGATGAGAGCGGAGGCTTTGCTTTTCTGCCTTTGTAATTTTGTGGTTTCATTTACATTTGATTAGGAAGACAGTGAGAATAGAATAAAAGATGGAGTCAGAGGTGATTTTGAATTATGTCATGGCATTTAGAAGAAAGGGAGTCATGCTTATCTGAACTGTGTTTCCAGTGAAGTTCACTTCAGGTCTTACCGTAATGTACTGGTATAGCTATGGACAGCCTGTATTGCCTGTCAGCCTCATTCTACATTGGGGAGCAGCATAGTAAACCACACAATATATTGACCCAGTTTGCAGAGAAGCGCAAGACACCTGCTGTCACAGCCACAAGCACTATTCCAGGAATAGAATGAGCCAGGGAACTGTTACAAATAGGCCATGGATCTGGCTCATACATCCCTAGCTCTGGAAGGAGAAGATAAATGCATATAAAAAATTTCCACTTAACAGCTAGCTGTGGTGGTGCACACCTTTTTAGGAAGCACAGGCAAGTGGATCTCTATGGGTTCAAGGCCAACCTGGTCTATATAACAAGTTCTAAGGCAGTCAGAACTACATAGTGACAACCTGTCTCAAAACAAAAAGAATTCCACATAAGGAGACCGAGGGAAGAAGATCTCAAGTTAAGGCCTGCCTGGAAAACTTAATGAGACCTTGTCTCAAAGTAAAAACGAGGGGCTAGTCCAGGTAGTGGTGGCACACACCTTTAATCCCAGGTGGCATCCATAATCCCAGGACTCAGGAGTCAGAGGCAGGTGGATCTCTGAGTTGGAGGCCAGCCTGATAATTTACAGAGCTAGTTTCAGGACAGCCAAAACTACACAAAGAAACACAGTCTCGAAAACGGTGTGTGTGTGTGTGTGTGTGTGTGTGTGTGTGTGTGTGTGTGTGTGTGTGTGTGTGTGTGTGCGCGTGCGCGCGCACGTGCGCGCACTCGTTCTACAGATGACTTAGTTGTTAAGAGCACTGCCCTTGGACGCTCATTGTTGCTTCTCCAGCATGTCCTTCCCTCAGTTACCCAGGTCTGTTAGTGTCCACCTCTCAGAACTTGTTAGGGTTTTATGGTCTACATCAAAGCGTGAGCTCTCTCTGGTCTTCTGTGACCTATTTAAAGGAAGCCAGGGCTGACCATTCCAAAGCTTTTCTTCAGGATGGTCTGGGGAAGGTTGATTCATACCTGTAATCCAGTGCTTGAATATGGACACAGGAGGCTACATGAGCTTGGGTTTCATGAGACCTTGCCTCAAAACCAAAAATGGGGGACTGAGCTTTTTTTTCTCTGCTATATCTTACTTATTTATTTTATTTTGTTTGTTTTCTGTCAAGACATTGTTTCTCGGTGTGTAGTCCTGACTGTCCTGGAACTGCTTTGTAGACCAGGCTGGCCTCAAACTCAGAGATCTTCCAGCCTCTGCCTTCCAAATGTTGGAACTAAAGACATGGGGCACCACCATCTAGCTGTGTTAAACATACTGACTAAGTAACCAAACTGTAAGTCAGTGTACTCTGTGTAACAAATTACATAGTAATGGAATGTTGGTATAGGTTTCCTTCTGTATCTCTTGTTGGGCACAGTACCCCTGAGCATCATGGAGACCATGGATCCTGCCACCTCTTTCCACAGAGGGAGACGAAGGTATTTTGGAATTGAAGTGATTAGAAAATGTCTCTGACATTGAGTTAGGAAGTTGGTGCTCCTTTAAAATTACTTTCTTATTCTGGGCATTGGCGCATGCCTTTAATCCCAGCACTTGGGGAGGCAGAGGCAGGTAGTGGATGGAGCTCTGTGAGTTCAAGGCCAACCTGGTCTACAGAGCAAATTCCAGGGCAACCAGGGCTACACAGAGAAACTCTGCTTCAAAAATAAAGAAAGATTTAAACCCAACCTCATATTTTGAAATATTTTTACTATATTATTTATTGGCTATGAGCATGTGTACATATGTGGATACATCCATGTTATGGCATGCATCTGGAAGTCAGAGAATAACATTTGGGACTTGGTTTTATATTCTGACTATGGGCTCCAGGGATCAAACACAGCTTGTCAGGCAAGCATGTTTGTCCACTGAATTTTCTCACTGGTCAACCCCCCTCCTTTTTTTTTTTTTTTAATACAAGATAGTTAAACAGAGGAAAATAAAACTGGTGAGTATAACATTTGGTGGACCCTGCATTGCTCAATGTTTCACCAGACAAGATGTTGGTAATGCTGAGTGGGATTTGTATGTAGCCACTTTTCAAGTTTGTATGATTTTGCAGAACTCAGTATCATGCACTTTTCCTTTCATTGCTGTTTGTTTCTTTAATTAAAAAAAAAGATGTACACACCAACTTCTCATCCCCCTAGTGAGCACTGTCTCGGGCATGTGCTTCCTGTGCTCCCTCTTTGCCTCCTCCCCCTGGAGTCCTCAGCTGGAGGTACACTCTCTCCCTTACCTGCAGTGACTCCCCTCCACCCATCTCACGGCAGCTCAGCCTGAGACATGTTCTTTCTTAGGAGTCCTACTCAGACACTGTACCTCCACCTGGGACCCTTCTGGACAACTGTGGGTGGCCTGCTGAGGCCGGGTCTTGTCTCCACAGATCCTGATGGCCAGCTGTATAATGTGGAGCCTGCCCAGGATGAAGAGCCCCCTGCCTGCGCCGATGAGTTTGACGACTTTGTCACCTACGAGGCAAGTGCTGTCCTGACTGCGATCTCCCCTTCTCCCTCCCTCCTGTGGAGTGCAGCTCCTGCTCCCTGGGCAGCCACAGCTGCTTCCACTGGGTGCTGCGCCTTGTGCGCATGGGTGGGGACTGTGGGGAAGCTTGGCTGTGGCAGAAACCACAGACTCTTCCGCTGGCCTGCTTGGGCCCGGGATCTACATGTTCAAAAGTCATCTGTTGGGCATGTTGTGGAAAAGAGGTTTGTGGGTAGTTAGGCTTTGTGGTGTCCTTGCTGTTACCTTCTACCAGGCAGAGGCAGAGCAGAAGACATTGAAGGTTTCCCTTTGTAAACTTAAAAAAAAAAAACAAAAAAACAGTTGTCTGTATTTGGGAACATTGACTAATCTGCCTCTTTCCCTGTGTCCCTTACTATCTACTCCTGGGGAAAACTAGGGTTGTGCTGTGTAGTGTCTCTTGTAACCGTGGGTTCCTTGTTACCTAGCTAGGGACAAAGTCACAGCCAAGAAAGGAGACCACCGTAACTGCCCAGCAGACTGGAGAGAGTTTAATCTCAGGTCTTATGGCTGATCTACAGGGTTTTCTTTACAAATACATGGAGCTGTTGTCCTGATGTTCAGGGTGACTGAGAGACAGGGTCCTTGAGCCCAGGAGTCCATGCTGGCCTGACAATCCAGTGAGACCAGCCTGAAAACATGAGCTGTACCTGAGCACTTGGTGTGCTGATGAAAGTGGCAGCTGCCAGAATTTCAACCTTCCAAGTGCTATAGGCAGTTGAGATCGAAGGTTCTTTGTATCAAGTTCTCAGAACTTTTGCTCCTTTGTCCCATGAGGGGCAGGACCCTGTAATGTCTAAGTAGATTCCTTTTGAGGACTAATGTAAAACAGAAGTCAGGCTATTGTAATCCTAATTTCTTTTAAAGACATTTTTAATCATGTGTGTGTATGTGTTTGAGTAAGTGCACATGAGTGCAGATGCCTATGGAGGCCAGAGGCATTGGTGTCCCTGGAGCTGAACTAAAGGCAGTTGTAAGCCCTGCAGTGTGGATTCTGAGAATCAAACTGTGTTTTGTAGAAGAGCAGTAATCATGCCTAACCACTGAGCCTTCTCTCTTAGCACTCTAATTTCTATTTTAGATGGAAGAAACATTTCTACATTTTTGTTTACTTTTTTTTTTTTTCTTTTTGGTTTTTCGAGACAGGGTTTCTCTGTGGCTTTGGAGGCTGTCCTGGAACTCGCTCTGTAGACAGGCTGGTCTCGAACTCACAGAAATCCGCCTGCCTCTGCCTCCCGAGTGCTGGGATTAAAGGCGTGCGCCACCAACGCCTGGCTTTTTGTTTTTAAAAAAAACTGAAGGATTTCGGTTTTTGAAGGTTTTGAGTTTTCAGTACATAGACCAAATAGTACAGAAGATTTCCGTGTGATGCCTTGCTATAGAGTTCCCGTTACAAGCACGCTCCCACTGGTGGGCCACAGCTGAGGCTCCTTTGTTGACCAACACTCTCAGGGTACACATGAAGACATGTTCCTGTGACAGCACCACAGACCGTTGTTTCCCATTCACAAGTCCCCTGTGCTCTGCCGTGCCCCACTTGCCCCGGCTGCCCCTGGGTTTTGCATAGTTGTGTTTCTGCCTTTCTGGTGTCTCTGAGCTACACTCTCAGACCTGCTCTTCTCAGCTGCGCTCATGTTTCTTGTCTTACTTTTCAGGCTTGCAGGTATAGCTTTCAGAACTAAATACTGCTATGAGCTTACAGAGAATTTGCTCTTTAAAACAAAACAGCTAGGCATGGTGGTGCAGGCTATAATCCTAGTGCTTAGGAGGTGGAAGCAGGAGGACCAGAAATTCAGGTAATCTTTGGTGACATTGTGAGTTCAAGGCCAGACTAGACTTTATGATACCCTGTATTTAAAAAAGGTGTCACCAGATGTGATGGCTCACTCCTTTCATCCCAGCACTCGAGAGACAGAGACAAACTGATCTCTGAGTTTAAAGCCAGCCTGGTCCATACTGCAAGTCCCAAGATAGCCAGAACTACCTTGTGAGACCCTGTTTCAACAAACAAGCAAACATAAACAAAAGAACCAAAAAATGTCAAACATCTTTTTGTTGGTTTGTTAGTTTTCCGAGACAGGGTTTCTCTCCATAGACCTTGCTGTCCTAGAACTTGCTGTATAGACCAAACTGGTCTTGAACTCACAGAGATCCACCCGCCTTTGCCTCCCAAGTGCTGAGATCCCAGCTTCTAACATCTTTTTAAAGTGGAGAATCTATGTGTCAAAGCCAGATGCTGTATTTGGTACTTAGAGAGAAATGTTAGCCGTTTACTGGCTTGCTGAGAATAGTTCTTGTTAGACCCCATCAAGGCGGAACTTGATGTGTGTAAGCACATGTGGGCAGGAGTACATGAGGCATTGCTTGCTCATGAGAGCTTCCTGTTAGGGCCTCCTACTAGCTGTCCTAGCTCCTACTACCGCCTTCCATGGGACCCCTTGGGTGTTTAGCTGACAGGAAACTATTACATGAGGGGGAAGAATTAGGGAGCTGAGTTAAGTTGCTGGTGAGAAGAAAGCTCATTGTTCAAGAATCTGAGCGGACTGAGGGAGGACAGGTGGATAGAGGCCACTTATCAGGGTTTCTGGAAGGGCAGTGAGGAAGCCACCCAGAGAACAAGCAGGACCAAATGATAAGGGTGTTCCAGAACTGTCCTGGCGTGCTCTCTGTGTACCTCCCTCCTCTCCCACTGCTGGGAGCTGGGATGACCACTCTCGTGCTGAGACTGTCTTTTGTATAGACTGTTATCAGGAAGGCTAAAGTGTACAACAGACTGCTGTGCTTTGTTCCCTGCCTATTGGTTAAGGCCAGCAAGGACACTTCCTGGACTTTGCTTCTCGCCACCCGTCCAGCAGCAGCCTAGTGGAGCGTGTCTAGGAGCAGGTTAAACTTTCTCTGAGGTGATGTGCCTTCAGATGGGCACATGGATTTTTCAGGAACACCAGCATGGCTGGTGAAGAGAAGCCAACGACTTGGTGAGCAGGGACACATGATGAGGTGTTCATCTCCAGCAACACCCCCTTCCCAGAGCCTGGGCTCAGAGACAGGCCTGTGAAGGTACTTGGCCATCATCTGAGGGTAAGGAGAGACCTGAGAGTGTGCTGTGCCTGGATTGTGCCCGAATTCTGTTTCTGTGGAGAGAAAGTCTTGTGGAGGGAGGAGCCATAGCCTGGACTATGGAGCTGCCAGACAGTGTTAGCCATACTTGATAGCCTGAACTAAGAAGGATCTCATCTGTTTCTTGGTGTCTTACATAGTGAATGTAATAGCACCTTGGGACATTTTTTTTTAAAAGGCACTTTGATTTTAAAGTGAGTTCATCTTTACTTTGGTAGTATGTAAAAATTTTAGAAGTTGATAATATAGAGCTGATGTCTTCTGGGCAAAGCTAGATCCTAACTGGCTGGTAGACGTAGCCCAGTGGGTGAGGCTGTGTACTGTGCTGCTGTGTGTCATGAACTGTGCAGTACAACTGTGCTCCGAGGTGGGTTTTGTGCCTGTGTTGGAGGGCCTTGGGGAGACAGATTTGCTGCAGGGCCCCTTGTACGGTAGTGCCTGGCAAAGACCAGAGTCTCAGAAGCTGGCAGGGGGTAGGAACTGAGTTGGGCCCCTGTCCTCCCAGCACCTCAGAGTCTGGGTCTTCTTTCTTTGTGGCTAACTTGCATCTGGTAGACTCTTAGCAATCTGAGCCTTCCTGTTTGTGTCCCACATCCCACAGAGAACCCTGAGTGCTTTTTACAGCGTTTGGGGATGGGACCTCTTGACCTTATTTGTTTACTTTGAAGTTTACACATGAACCACGTCCCCCTCTCAGTGACTGAAGCTCTGAGTTACTCCACGGTGCTGCAGATGGGACTGCTCCTTTAGAAATGAGTTGAAAATGTGCCGGACAGTCTCCCTCCAGGATCTGTGGTACAGATGGAGACGCTCACATTGCCTCTTTGCTCTCATGTTGGTAGAGTTGATTCTGTTCTAATACTCTGCCTGAACTCCAAGGAAGGTGCCATCCTTGGCCCGTGCTCCCATGGACACCACCCTCAGCATCATGAGAACCCCATGTGAGGAGTAGACTCTAGCCTTTGGACTCTTTCCATCCCAGGAGGAAATGTGTTGACTGCACTGAGAACTTGGTACACTTATTCCAAGTGTCTGAACCGTGCTGGAAAGCCATGGCAGTGAGCACCTGGTGTATGTACTCTGGGGTTGGCTTAAAAAAAAACCAAATCAATACATTAATGGGGGGTATGCATTCTACAGTGCAGGTATGGAGGTCACCACTTGGGTCCTGGGGATCAAACTCCAGTCATTAGGCTTGATGGCAAGTGCCTTTACTAGATGAGTCATCTGAGTTTTGTTTTGTTTTGAGAGCAGGCTGGCTTAGAACTCAGAGATCTGTGCTGGGATTAAAGGCATGTGCCACCACCACTTGTGGATATTTTTATTTTTTAACTGAAAATTCATGTAATATATTCTGATCATGGTTTCCTCCCCCATCTCCTCCCAGATCCTCTCCATTTCCCTCCCCATCCAACTCCAGGTCTTCTTTCTGTCTTTCTTTTTTTAGAAAACAAAACACAAACAAACAAAAAAAAAATGAAAAAGCACAGAAATACACACCCTGAGGCACACATACAGACAAAACCAAAATCCACAAAATCAGAAACCATAATATACAAGCAAAAGGCCAATAAGATAAAAAATATGTATATACAAACAAAGCAATATGAGAAAAAAAAACCTGCAAAAAAAAAAACCCCTCTTTAGGTTGGCTTTTTAAAAAGCTGCCTCAAGGGCTGGAGAGATGGCTCAGTGGTTAAGAGCACTGGCTGTCCTTCAGAGGACCTGAGGACCTGAGTTCAATTCCCAGTGCCCACATGGTAGCTCACAGCCATCTATAGAATATGATGCCCTCTTCTGGCCTGCAGGTGTATATATGCAGAGCACTCATAAATCAATTAAAAAAATAATTAAAAACCCAGGTGGTGTTGGCATACGCCTTTAATCCCAGCATCCCAGCACTTGGGAGCCAGACAGGTGGTGGATCTCTGTGAGTTTGAGGCCAGCCTGCCAGCTCTGCTCTAAAGAGCAAGTTCCAGGGCAGCTAGGGCTGTTAAACAAAGAAACCCTGGTGGGGGGGAGGAGGGGAGGCGGGGAGGCGGGGATGACTCAGCAGTCAGGAGCACTTGTCGCTCTTGCTTCAGATCTCTGTTCAATTCTCGGCACTCATTTGGTAGCCTATAACCATCTTCTAGGAAAACCAACAACCATACATGTTGTGCAGATGTATGCATGAAGGCAAAACATTCATAGAAGTAAAGTTACCTCAAGGTGACTTTCTGTTATAAGCAGCAACCTACTCTGAGGTCTTCGGAAGGCCCTGCCTGTCAGTGTTGGAGCCTTGCTGGCCAGCTCATGGGTCAGCTCCCTTCTTACTGCTAATGAGCCATGTGCAGTCTTTGTTTTTATTCTTCTTGGAAATCTGCAGGATTTTCTTAGTGCCTGAGTAAGTGACTGTCAGCCTCCCCTCAGAAGTCTGTATAGCAAGGTGTCCTGTTGGTCCACCATCTCCTGTAGGACAGGCCTCGGACAGTGGATGGAGTCCTGGCCTGCCTCATTCAGGGGACTGCTGCTTAGGTGCATGGGTAAACCATCGCTGGGTCACAAAGGTCATTCTCATTTGGGTTTTTTCCTCTAAAGACGGGGTCTTACTCTATCTCCTTGGTAGCTTTGTAGACCATGCTGGCCTTGGCCTTGAACTCATAGAGAATTGCCTCTTTCTTTCTTTTCTTTTTTTTTTTTTTTTTGGTTTTTCGAGACAGGGTTCCTCTGTGTCTTTGGAGGCTGTCCTGGAACTAGGTCTTGTAGAACGGGCTGGTCTTGAACTCACAGATCTGCCTGCCTCTTCCTCCCGAGTGTTGGGATTAAATGCATGCGCCACCACTGCCTGGCTGAGAATTGCCTGTTTCTGTCTCTTGGGTGCTAGAATTAAATGTGTGTACCACCATCGTCTAGCTTTGCTTTTAGATTTTTGACTTGACTGCTTTCTACAAATTACTTGGTACTGATGAATTTTGTACCTTCTGGAGGCTTGTACTCTGCAGTCTTGTTTTCCTCCTTGCTGTAAGTAGTGTCCCCCGACCAGGCAGTCGTGGCACACTCCTTTAATCCCAGTACTTGGGAGGCAGAAGCAGGCCTATCTCTGTGAGTTCGAGGCCAGCCTGCTCTAGAGAGTGAGTTCCAGGACAGCTAGGGCTGTTACACAGAGAAACCCTGTTTCAAAAAACAAAAGCAAAACAAACAAACAAAAAAAGTCCCCACTCATGTCATCCACTGGAATCCTTAAGATGCATCCTTACAGCTCCCTTAGTGATTGAAGCTCCGGTCACATGCTGTTAGTGGTGGTCAAGACTGGAGCTGGCTTCTCATCAGCCTAGAGGCTCAGGTCTTCTGGGATGTCTACTGGCTCAGGGGGGGATGCTGTTGCTCCTGTGCCTCACTCACACTCCTTGGAACACCAGACCTCGGGGACAAAGGGCATCTTTTTCCTGCTAGAACTGCAAGTTTTCTGAAATCCTATTTATACATTGTTAACCTCAGAATCTTCTGAATATGAAATGTCAGAGAATTGCAACTTTGCTGTAATTAAAATTGAACTTATAAATAGAAAATGCCCTTTTATCCTTCTTTTGTTCATTAATATTATTTAAACTCTGTCTGCCATAAGTTGAGCCCTATGCTGTGTTCTGTCCATAGGAGAAAACAGGTATAATTGGGAAAACAGACACTGAACTATAATAGTTGGATAGATGATTGACTAATAAGTATTAGAAGTTATATCTTCACTAGAACTCACTCTGTAGACCAGGCTGGCCTCGAACTCTGCCGTCTCTGCCTCCTGAGTGGATGATATCTTAATTTGATCTTTATTACATTTTTATTGATATTAATTTTATGTGTGTTTATGAGGGGGTGTCACAGTGTGTTTGTGGAGGTCAAGGGACAATTTTGGGAGTCACTTTTCTCCTACCTTGTTTGTTGGGTTTTGGGGATTGAATTCAGATCATTAGGCTTGATGGATGGTGCCTTTCCTCACTGAGCCATTCTCCCAACCGGTGATGCCTTAATTTTAAAGGCACAGTCTTACACTGTTGTATATTAACTCCTTGACTCTAAGTAATACGCTGAAAACCACAAAACAGATGGTTCTGTTGGGAATATTTGTGATTCTGGGTGCTTTGTATCTTCTAGATGTATTATTATTTAATTGATTTTTAAAATGACTCAACATTTGTTCTTGAGACGGTTTCTCTGTTAGCCCAGACTGGTCTTCCTGCCCTGCCTTCTGTGTGCCAGGGGTATGCGTGGCTCCACCATGCCTGTCTTGGTGCATATTTTTGTCTTTTCTTTGGCATTTTATAAACAAAGGACTGAGGGTGCAGCTAAATGGCAGAACAGATAGGACACCTGAGAGGCCCTGTGTGTAGTCTGCGTGAACACGCTTATACCGAGTCCTGATTTATAAGATAACACCCAAGGGTTAGGGATGTGGTTGTTATTTTTGCTGGTGCCATGCCCTCTATGCCATGTGGCCTTCATGGCTGCTCAATCTAACGGTTGGTTTTCTTTCCTAGGCCAACGAGGTGACAGACAGTGCATATATGGGGTCTGAGAGCACCTACAGTGAGTGTGAAACCTTCACAGACGAAGACACCAGCACCCTGGTGCACCCTGAGCTTCAGCCTGAAGGGGACGCTGATAGTGCTGGTGGCTCAGCTGTGCCCTCAGAGTGCCTAGACACAATGGAGGAGCCTGACCATGGTGCATTGCTGTTGCTCCCAGGCAGGTCTGTACCCATGCTCTGTGTGTGTGTGTGTGTGTGTGTGCGCGCGCGCGCGTGTGCATGTGTCTCTGTGTGTGTATCTACATGTCTGTGTGTCTTGTGGATTCCCTAGACTATGCTTTCTGCAATGGTAGAACAGTCTGGGCCATGTGTAGCTTCCTACTGTCTCTGTGGAGCTGCACCTGTCTAGTTTCCAGCCAACTGATTGCTTCTCCTGCTAGGACACTCCTGGATTTAATGTTCTACCGGATCTGGCTGTAGAGACAGGGAAATTATAAGAGATAAACCTTAACTCAGTCTTCTGAGATTTGTAAGCACAGGGTTTTTTGTTTGTTTGTTTGTTTTAAATAAAGTCTCATATAGCCAGGCGATAGTGGCACACACCTTTAGTCCCAGCACTTGGGAGGCAGAGACAGGTGAATCTCTGTGAGTTCAAGGCCAGCCTGGTCTACAAATGAGTTCCAGGACAGTCAGGACTGTTCCACAGAGAAACCCTATCTTGAAAAACGAAAAACAAAACAAAATATTCCCTAGGCTGGCCTTGAACTTGCTATATGGGCAAGGATGATACTGTGCTTCTGATCTTTCTCAAGTGATGGTGTGTACCACCAGGACGGCTTTTATGCAGTGTCAGGGGTCAGTTCTAACTTTGTGTGTGCTACACAAGCTCTTTAAAAACAAGTTAGTTTTTATTATTTTGATTATATAAATGTGTGTTTGTTTGCCAGTATGTGTATGTGAGTGAAGGTGCCTGCAAAGGCCAGAAATATAGGCTTCTTGGGACTGGAGTTGCAGACAGTTGTGAACTGCCCTGTGTACCCTCTGGGACTGCAGTCAGTACTCTGAGCAGCTCTCCAGCCTGGACGCTAATGCTCATCATCTTCAGAAGCACTCCTAACAACTGAACAGTATCTCCAGCCCATTAGCACGTTTTAAAAATTATTATTGTTGTTATTGTTATTGTTTTGTGAGACAGGGCTGCCCTGTAACTTACTCTGTAGACCAGGCTGACCTTGAATTCAGAGATCCATCTACTTCTGCCTCTCAAGTGCTGGGATTAAAGGCATGCGCCGCCATCACCACCTGGCCGCAAAATTGTTTTTTAAAATAGGGTCTCACTATGTGGCTCTGGCTGTCATGAAGCTCACTATGCAGATCAGGCTGGCTTTGGAGTCACGGAGATCCTGCCTGCATCTGCTTCCCAAGTGCTGGGATTAAAGGTGTGCACCACGGCCAAGCGGTGGTGGCTGGACCGATAGCCTCCAAAACAATACAGAGAAACCCTGTCTCGTAAAAACCAAAAAAAAAAAAAAAAAAAAAAAAAAAAGGGTGTGCGCCACCACTGCACAATTTTGACATCAGGGCTAGAGGACATAGTATTCACATATCTTTGTGATACCCTGCATTGACCACGTATGGACATAGTAAATAATAAATAAATATATCACTAAAAACTTAAACGTTGACAGGTGTGGCAGTACACACCTTTAATGGCAGCATTCAAGATTCAGAGACAGATATGTGAGTTTGAAGCCAGCCTGGTTTACACAGTAAGTTGGAGGTCAGCCAAGAGCGACAATGAGACTCTTGTCTCAAAACAAAAACAAAACAACAGCAAACATGACAAGAAAACACTTTAAAAGTATAATAGTATACTGTTGTAAGTTATTTATTTAAAACTGTTGGGCTGTGCTATGGCTTAATGTACACATAAGTCCTAGGTTCTAGACCCAGCACTAGCAAAAATAACTTATGAATTGTTTGGTTTTTTTGAGACAGGGTTTCTCTGGAACTAGCTCTTGTAGACCAGACTGGTCTCCAGCTCACAGAGATCTGCCTGCTTCTGTCTCCCAAGTGCTGGGATTAAAGGCGTGCGCCACCACTGCCTGGCCTTCAATGATGTGGCCTCTGCTAAGACTGGCTATGTATGTGAGTTCCATGGGTGTCAAACTGGAAATTGCAACCCTGTTGGAGCACTGTGGTCAGCCAAAGGGCCTAGGCCCTCCTGACCCTACTGGTTGTCCTTAGCATTGTCTGTCACTTTACTGTCTCCCTTCTCCCAGAAACAGCTTCTTTGAAGTGATGCCATTTTATATCTGTTATTAAAAAGTAGCACAATTACTAACCAATTTCACCTGTTTCTGGTTCTGTTCTGTTTCGTTTTAGCAGTGTGGCTCCTCAGACGATACGGACTCAGGCTTATGGCTTATTGAATAGTATGCATCCCGTCAGATGCCTATGGTGGTGACTCAGAATTGCCTCTGTCTGTCTTTTGTAGAACCCACCCTCACAGCCAGGCTGTGGTCATGGTGATTGGCAGTGAGGAGCATTTTGAAGATTACGGTGAGGGCAGTGAGGCAGAGCCGTCCCCGGAGGCCCTCTGTAATGGCGAGCTGGATTGCGGGGACTCTTCTTTCCTCAGCCCCAGGTGACACCCTGCACTACGCGTGGTCCACTCCCTCTCCATGCATACTTACGGGAAACCTCTCTGTGGGGTCCTGTGCTGTTTATCTGCTTCTATGTAGTTGCGCGCCATGGTGAGGAGTACTGAGTGTGTCCCAGAGTGAAGACTAGCTGCACCCCGTCTCGTCTGTACCCTGCAGACCTTACAGCATATGCTGAGCCACTGCAGCCCTAAACTGCTGTCACTGGTCACTTCATGGCCAGTGGCTGACTTTGAGGGACACTCTAGAATCATAAACCAGGCTTTTCCATGTCCTGATATCCCCCCAAGATTTTCTGAAAAGTTCTAGCTCTGAGTTAATCAAACTATGGCATCTAATAGACAAGACACTTGCTTTCCCTGAGTTGTGCCTCAGGTGACTTGATTTGTGTGCACACCTGACTGGTTTTGACTGACCACCTGGGTAGCCCCTCCTGAGCACTCAGTGTGAGGAAACCACTGCTTCTCCGTGGAGCCCAGGCCTAGCTGGCCAGCTCTTCAACACTGACCACATCTCCCTTTTGCTTTCTGGTTCCTGATTTTGTTTACTTGAGCCTGGTTAACATGGCAGCACAGAAAGTGGACCAATGCTAGCGGGCTTTCTGGAGGCCAGGCATGAGCCCCTCTTGTTCATATACCACTGAAAATGGCATGGCGTTGAAGAGGGATCTCTGAGTGCGTCCTGGGTGCACGACCCCCCTGGGGACAGTCCTAGGGACTTTGAATTGTAGGTAAAGGGCTTGTTCCAGAATTTGCCATTTCTGCATCCATGTCTATTGGGCTGTGGCATTCTCTCCTGTTTTTGCAGTTTGCCCCATCTCCAACTGGTGTTTCCAATCTAAAGTGTAATTTTCCTGCTACATTTTTATGTATTCCTTTCTACCCTTCTTTAAATTGAACTTCCAGGTTAGTTTTCCACAGCCTGTGGTTCCTTCCCTGACCTCATGCCCAGGAACAGATGTGTCATGGTCCACCACTGTACTAAGAGTTTGTTGAGTTAGAATCACAGGAGTTCAGCTAACATTCCCAGAAGGCTAGACAGAATTCTGAGTTTTTGACACAGATCTCAAAAGCACAAATCTGCCAATGTACCTTTTGGTTTTTTGAGACAGCAAGACAGTCCCAAAATGACAACAAAAACCTAGTAAATAAACTCCCCCTGGAGACACACTTTGCTGTCACATTCATGTGATTTCTGCAGGGGAGAAAGCTGTGTGTGCACTTACCTTTCTGTTAAAGAGAATTTTGTGTTACAGCTCTCACTGCCTAGTTTTGTACACTGCCTAGCATGGAGAAATGTATGGCAGTCCTGACTGCTCCAGGTGGTGGATATCCAGGCTCCTTGGGTGATGTGAGGAAGGGCTTATGGTAGTCCTCAGAGCACAGCCAGCACCCTGGACCATTTGTTCCCTTCCTCTACTTCTGTTCCGCACCTGTCCCTCCCTCCTCCACCTTATGTCTGGCCTCCTCTCTCCTGACTGGCCCTCTGTCTTTCTAGCTCCAACCCTCTTGCCTCAAAGCTGCACAACGTCCTCACTGATGAGGTCTTTGAGTTTTACTGTAGCCAGTGCCACAAACAGATCAACCGCCTTGAAGATCTTTCTGCCCGCCTGACTGATCTTGAGATGAATAGGTAACATGGAGGGCCTGGTCTTGCTCTGTGCTCCCAGGGAGACTCCCACTCCAGTGCTCCCTATGTGCTCTTGCTCTGGTCACCTAGTCTAGCAAGGCACTCAGACCATGGGACTCTTCCTGCGGACCCTACTGCATGCCTTGATCTAGCTTGCTGCTTATGTGTCTTCTCCTTTATGCATGTGGCAGCCTTGTTGGCTGCTGTCCCTGAAGGGGGAAACCTAACATGTGAAAGAGGATACTCCAGCATTTTACCAAAATTTTCTTCAACTGAGTCTTGGGAGGCAGAGCTGGGAAATGTAAAAACGTTTTTTTTTGAAAACTAGTTTATAAGTAGTTTTCTGGAATGCTAGGTTAGTCATGATCACCTGTGCTCAGGGACCTTCTGTTCTGTAGGGTGGCTGTCCATTCAAATGCAGATGACTTGACATGGCTGCTTTGCTCTTACATGCCCTGCATGCTGCTCCTTTGCCTGCCCTCCTGTTTCCTTCTCGCCTGTGCATTACTCATCTCTGTCCTTTGGGGGGGGGCATCTCAGTGAGCAGTCCCTGTAGAACCAGGTGGTTCCTTGCAGCTTCACAAACTCATAGGAAACATCTTTGGGTTCTTTGTTCGTGTCAGCCTGCCCCCGACATCCCATTGGCTCAGTGTGTAGAGGGATGAGTCCTTGGTGTCAGGAGACGGGGTGTTGAAGAAGAAGGTCTGCAGAAGAGATGGGCTGCATGTGAAGCTGTGGCTGGCACCCCCTGCTAAGCAGAGGTGGCAGGTGATCACACAAGCGTTGTGGCAGAAAGGAAGATAGATCATCCCTGTAGTGCAGCATGCTTGGAAGTCTGTTAGAGGCTGCACCTTGTCTGCCCTGCCATTTCAGGACATTAGACAAGGTACATCTACAGCTGTCCTGTTCCAGCTCCCATCCTGGTACCCTTGACATGTTATCTTTCTTGTCTTGTTTTCATGCAGCATCACAAAGCTAGAGGCCTTTAGCCAACACCCAGTGAAGTAGCATCTTGGTCAGTTGGGAAAGATCAGAGGGAACCTGGTGGGGTTCTGATCACATTGGTAGAAGCCAGAAGTATCCTTTGAGGATGTGTCTCTTTAAGACTTGGGGGGAAAAATCTGGTCTCTGGTGATTCCAGAAATCATGGTGGCTTCCATTGTAGAGGACACAGCTTTCACCTGCTATGTGTTGAGTGTTGGGGACTGACGGTGCCAGCTGTGTTCTTCCTGTTGGTGAACCGTCCTCCTACTGATGAGCAGGTGTGATTTCAAGATGTGTGTGTTGTCTCCATCACTGAAGATTTTGCTGTCCTAAAAGCCTGCCTCTAAGATGGCGATGATTATTCCAGTTAGGTCTTGTGGGGCAGAGTTCAGGCTAGTATGTGGCTCAGCATGCCTGGGTTGTGTCTCTCACCCTAAAAGGTTCTGCCTAAGTGTACACTTTTAATTTAGGACACAGCTGTCAAGTACTAGTATCCCAATAGTGAGAGCTGATTTGTACCCCCTGGCCTGCATGGATTTCCTCAGGATAAGTTTTATGGACTACCATATAACAGTAGGGTTTACATTATGTCTCAGTCCTGTAGCTGTTGTGTTCTTTGGGTACCTGGGAGCATCTGTAAAAACAATGCATTTTATAGAAACCAAGAAGTCTTATTTACTCATATATCTTCAAAACTGTAAACCATTGCAGGGTTTGCTAGTCCTGAGGATGACAGGTAGATGGAGCAGTCGGTTCTTAATGTGCAGAGTGTCCATGATAGGAAGATAAAAGCAGATCTGTACTAAAATGCACAGTGCTACTCAGGAGTCCAGCCAGGAGAGGGAGCCATACAGTAGCTGCAGAGGGACCTGAGCTGTGAGGGTAGTTACATAAGGTGCTGCCAGTGTACGTCAAGAGTTCTGAGGAGTCACAAATAGCAAGGACCACCCAAGGGATCCAAATCCCACTACCCATCCAGGAGAGGATCTGTGCCCTTCAGCAGCGGGCAGCCCTGTGGAAACGGTGTGGCAAAGACATCTTTAGGTGCTGTGCTATCAGCTCCAGCTCTCCAATGCCCTCTATTGGCAGAATGTAGCATCACAAATGAAAATGCATCCCAGCAGTGAACTTCCCAGAGCACCTTCAAAGTATGATTTTGTACCCACTTGAAGTAATAAAGGAATGACATTCCAAGTAGATTGCTTGCCTGCCCTTGAAAAAGGGGAAGGAAGCTGGTGAACCTGCTGCGAGCCAAGACAGGTGGCCCCTGTGCCTGAACACAGGCCATGCTCTAATTGGCCTCAGAGCCAGAAGATGCATGTTGGGCCTGCTCTTGCTGCTGTAGGTGGTCCATGTTATTGGTCTGGGATGGCTCCAGGAAGGGTCTCTAAATCCTCACCATATAGTATTTGGAATGTGAAGGGTCAGGACCCAAACAAAAGCGATTACAGGCCCTCCTATCATAGGAGGACCTGTTCGATAGCCCGTCAACTGGGGTAATGGCTTTGGAAGGACTGGGGAACATGACAGTAGTCAATGATGTGGATCCACGTGCTGTCAGCTGTGGGTTTAGGCATTGGGCTTGGTTGGTACTGTAGCCTGCTTATTTTCTTTTGAGGTCTTAGGGATGGAATGATGAGATCTGGTGAAGCTCTGTGCATGCTCTCTGACTGTGCATGCGGCTTGTCTGGGACAAGGGGATGCATGCCTGTGCCCTGATATCTCCCCAGCCCAAGCTTCCTGTTTCCTCTTGCCCTTCGGTCTGCTCCCTGACACTATTTTCCTGTTTGTTTGGTTTTTGCACAGCCCAGCTAAGCGGCTCTCCAGCAGGAAGGTGGCAAGGTAGGCAGAGCCTCGATCACTTGCTGAAATCTTACAAAATACTCTAGTAGTCATAGTTTCTGAAAAACATTTACAAAATATTCTTTTCCAGGTTTTTTTTAATTCAAACTTTCAAGTTGTATTCCATATTTTGGGATAGAAAGCAGTTGAGGGGAGAGGTTGCGGAAGGGATTTCTAGGGCTGCAGTTAGATATAGACCTGAGGCTTCTGGCGTCTCCTCTGCCCTTACATACTTCCTGTAAGGGCTTCCATGGGCTACAGTTTCCCTGTGTCTGCTCTAGGAGTCAGTCTCTTAGAATTGACTCTGGGTGGCCAGCTGCCCACCTATATGGTCTTGTCAGCCCAGTGACTCACATGGAAAGGAGAGAGGAGAGAGGGTAGTGGTGGGAATGGTCTTCCTAGAGTATTGGTTTTTTGTTTTTGTTTTTTCTTTTTTTTTTCTTTTTTTTTTGCTTTTTCTTTTCAAGACAGAGTCTCTCTATATAGCCCTGGCTGTTGCAGAACTTACTCTGTAGACCAGGCTACAGACAGCCTCGAACTCAGAGATACACCTGCCTCTGCCTCCCAAGTGCTGGTATTAAAGGCGTGCACCACCACTGTCTGGCCTTGCTAGAGTCTTAAAGGCCAGCTTTTGTTTTTGGAGTTTGGCTGCTGTCAGCTTCCTGCTACAAAAGGTGAGTTGTGCTTCTGCCCTCTGGTTGACTCCTGGACAGTCTTCACTGAAGTTAGTGTTCAGGTTTAGCATGCTGATGCCCTCCGTATGGCCAGGCTCAGGCAGTACTCTGTTTCCTCCCTAAGAAGCTGAGTCGGTGATCACCTTCATGCTCTTCCTTGTCTTCTGAATCTCTAGGCTGTCTTCACTGCCCAGCCGTCTCTTGGGGATGTGGGGATCATCCTCCTGGTTTGCATAGGGCATCTCCTGGCTAAGGTTCTTGCATGTCTCCCCACACCCTGTGAGTTCTTTCTTTCCGAGATTGAGTCATCCAGTTCCCAGCCCCAGCCTCCTTCTCCTGCCTTACCTCTTTTTGATTTGCATATCCTCCTGTGGCTCCCTGAGAAGGGAAGGAACAGGGGATAAAATTCAAGACCTTAGGTGGGAGTCTCCTCTGGTTGGTTTGGATCAAGGTTGTGAATTTTCCAGATTTTTCTGGAGTCATTGGTCACACCCTTTGGTCCTGGAGTTGTTACTAAGTCTAACTTCTTTGTTTCTTTAAGACTTTTCTCTCTGTGGAAGCTTTGAAGATGTTTTCTTTGCTTCTCAAGAGACTTTTAGATGGTTCTGGTGCTGCAGGCCTGTATTCAAAACTACTAGGGAGGCTGATGCAGGAGATTCAACTTAGAGTGTATCTCAACATTTTTTTTTTAAAGCTCTGGGAATGTTGGATACATGCCTACCATATGGGCTTTGAGCTCAACTCCCAAAATCATTTTTTGTAAAGAAAAAGATAATAAATTTCACGAGTCTTGTTGTAAGCCCTCTTTCTCATTAATTACGAGGAGCAAAGTAACAGTGAACCCTCTCACCTGGAAGCTAGCTACTAGCATCTCTAGTAGATCTGACTTCTGTGCCTTCACATCCCTCATCCTGGAGCAGTGGCCCCCTGGCGGCTTGGGAAACAGGCAGTATCTGCACTCAGCCTTCTCTGGTTGTCACCTCTTCAAGAAGGACACTGAGCTCATAGTAACTCCATAGCCACCCAGCTGTACATTGTTACAGTTCCACAAGGAATGGCTTGGCTGCCCTGCTCACATCCTCCTGAACAAGCAGTGGCTGGAACTGTCAGAGGTGAGCTCAGCCTCCCTTGCTAAGATTCTGACAGGACCAGGGGCAGCTGTCAGGCTTTCTGTCTAGAGAAAATCTAGGGTCAGAGGAACTCCATGGCTTGAGAAGGCTGGGCAGTGAAGCTTGATCCTTTGAAATAGTCTCTGAGAGATGGTTCAGAGGTTAAGAGCACTGGCTGCTCTTCCAGAGGTCCTGAGTTCAATTCCCAGCAACCACATGGTGGCTCACTACCATCTGTGAGATCTGGTGCAGCTTCTGGCCTGCAGGCAGAACACATAATAAATAAATCTTAAAAAAGAAAGAAATAGTCTCTGAGAATGTATTTTTCTTGTCAGATGTGTTTGTTGCTTCAAAAGTCAACTTCTATATTCATAGTTAATTTATGAATCAAAAGTACATCCTGTAGTGTACCTGAAGAATGTCAAAGCATACATGCAGATTTTTGTTCATTTGTTTTCCGAGACAGGGTTTCTCTGTGTAACAACTCTGGCTGCCTTGGAACTCATTCTGTAGACCAGGTTGGCCTCTACCACCCAAGTGCTGGAATTAAAAGTGTGCGCCACCACCTCCTGGTTTACATGCAGATTTTAATCCACTGCCATTGTGCCCTTAATTCTATCCCTACAATTCTCTGGAAACACAGAATGGGTGTCCTATAATTCATGTTACAGGATGTCTAACCTTTTATGCATTGTGACTAAGATGGGCATTTTGTAGTGTCCAGCTGTGACTCTGTGGCCTGGCTGTGTCCAAGAAGCTGTTACCTCCCTGTCCCTGTTGATGGAAGTGGCTCTTCTCCCTGAGGCACCTAGTACAGAGTTGGCCCAGTGGGATTCACAACAGGGACATGATTTCCACCCCTTGGGCAAAATGTGGATCTGAGGAGTCCCAGAACTTCATGTCCCTCTTGTTGGGGTTCTTGAGTGGAGTTGAAGGAAGAACTCTTCTTGGTGGGGATTAAATAAGCCACATTCCACATTCTAGACAGCCTCAGCTTCGCCAAGAGGCCACATGCTGGGTGCTCAGGGACAGCATATTCCCTAACCTTACATAAGCCCAGGCCTTGACCCCTGCCCAGGGTGGCCTCTAGGGTCTAGGGTGGGCAGTTTCTTTTCGGGGGAGTGGCATGAAATTGAGGCCAAGGTCCTGGTGAAGAACAGTGACTGACTGAGAATGGTCAGCACCCTCTTGAGAATCTGAGGAAACACTATAGCAAGCTCTAGAAGAAAGAAGCTCTCCCAGTGTGCATAGGCTTATAGTCCCAGGCTAAAGGAGCTTGCTTCCTTTTCCCCCTAAAATAATCATGAGGAAAAAAAAAAAAAGGAAATGTGCAAGCTCAGTCAGTGAGAAAGGAAATAGCTCCATTCACTGATAGGTGGCGTGGCCACAGCTGAATCCTCAGTCTGCTGAATCCTCACCAAAGCTGTCTCTAAAATACCCTTGTTGAAAACTTGCAGGGAACCCCTTACTTGCCTGTAGATTGTTTCCCATTTCGTAAAGAGAAGGCTCAGTGAGCTTGAATGCTTTCTCAAGGTCACACAGATCTGACCATCAGGCCATCAAATTTAGAGGCTGACCCCCAAGTGTGGGACAAACTCAACACACAGCTTTACTGCCACTTCTGTACAAGTGCCCTAAAAGGTTCGTGAACTGCTGCTAAATTAGACTTGCCACAGCTAAGCAAGTTAGTCTGGACCACAAGCAGTGTCCATTTGCTGAACACCTGCCCAGGCATCTGCATCTGAGGCGTGGTCCCTGCCAAGAGCACAGTGAGAGGTCCTTGGGGTTCCATGAGACTTCAGTACTGGTGCCTGGGTCTAGCCTTGACCACTGGCACTGGTGCCCCAGAGAACTGCACCTGGATTCTTCCCTAGTTCATCTGTACTAAATTCCACCAGAGTGACTCACCTGGTTCACCGTGCCCTCAAAACTTTCAGTACCACAGAGAGCTCACTGGAAACCAAGTGTCAAAGGTGGAAGCTGGGTACACACCTTTAATCCTAGCAGAGGCAGGTGAATCTCTGAATTTGAGGCCAGCCTGGTCTACACGGCGAATTCCAGACTAGTCAATCAACACAGAAAGATGTGTCTCAGAACAAAAATAAAATGCATGTAGAGCTGGGAACAGTGGCCCGCAGCAATCAGGAAGCTAAAGCAGGAAGATTTCATGTTTGAAGCCAGTTTGTGTTGAATAGCAAGAAAGACCGCATTTCAAAAGAAAAAAAATCACACACATGTAGGTATACTGCACAGGAGTCAAGATTCTAAATTAATATTTGATGGGCCTCTGGTGGATGTGAGATCATTTCATATCATGGTGAGGAATGATGTGTTTTATTGCACCCTGGTCCAAAGTACCCTGTTGTCCCCTCAGCTGGCAGGGGAAAGGTTGTGCTGATAGGCTCCAAAGAGGGCTGGGAGGACTCAAGCTACAGAGCACAATCTGCTTGTTCCTAGCCCCTTGGTAATGCTGTCTGGCCCAGGGACACCCCTTCTTGTTTTTTTGATCAGGAGAATACTACCCAGGAGTTGGGGAGGGCATGTGCTCCATGATGCTGATGTCTGCCTTTCAGAGGGACTTGGAAGTACTCTTGTTAGAAGAGCTTATCATTTGTTTTTTTCCATTCTTCCCTCTACTATTGGTTCTTTTCTGTAGGTATCTGCACCAGTCAGGGACTCTGACCATGGAGGCCCTGGAGGACCCTCCTCCAGAGCCTGTGGAGTGTCCAGAGGAGGATATTGCTGACAAGGTAGGTGTTATGTGCTGAGAGCTGGGACAAGGTGATGACCAGTATCACCAGAACGCAACAGGGCCTGAGGCCTGTCCCGTGCTCTGTGAGGTGGTGGGTGGTGCTTGGGAACACCTGGTCTCTTCTTGGCGCTTGAGGAATATTGTTGGGACAGCTCAGTGGAAGTGGCAATGATGTCATCTAGTTATTTAAATCCTTTGTTCAGCCTTCGTTCCCTCAATGCCTATGTCATAAAAGAGGGGCATTTCATAGCATTTGGGCAGAGCACGCCACAAGGAGGAGAACAAAACCAGAGCCATAATATTTTATTATATTTATTTACTGTTGTGTGTATATGGTTGCACTAATGCCACATTTGAGGTGGTCCTCCCCTTCAACCATGTGGGTTGCAGGGATGGAACCTAGGTTGTAAGGTTTGATAGCATGTGGCTTTACTCGGTGAACTATCTCAGCAGATTGCCATTAGTTATTAGGATTACATTGCACCAAGTTCCTTTATGTGAGTCATTTCAGGGGAACACCAAGGAGGTTCCAGAGACAGTTTACTTGGGGCTTACAGTTTCATCATGGCTAGGAGCATGGCAGCAGGCAAGCTAGCATGATACTGGAGCCGTAACTGAGGGCTCACATTTTGAGAAACAAACATGAGGCAGTGTGAGCTAACTGGAAATGGGTGGGGCTTTTGAAAACACAGAGTCTGCCCCCAATGACACACCTCCTTCAACAAGACCACACCTCCTAATCCTTCCCAAACAATCCCTTCAGCTGGGGACCAGCTATTCAAATATATGAACCTATGGGAGCCATTCTCATTCAAACCACCCATTCCACTCCTTGGCTCCATAGTTTTGTGGCCATATCATAATGCAAAATGTATATAGTCCATCTTCAAATGTCCCTTCATCTTTCATAGTCTTAACATAATTTAAAGGTTCAAAGTCTCTCTGAGTCTCAAGGTAACTCTCTCTCTCTGTCTCTCTCCCTCCCTCCCTCTCCCTTTCTCTTTTTCTGTTTTTCTAACAGGGTTTCTCTGTGTAGCTCTGGCTGTCCTGGAACTCACTCTGTAGACCAGGCTAGCCTTGGATTCACAGATCTGCCTGTCTCTTCCTCTGAGTGCTAGGATTAAAGTCGTGTGCCACTACCACCTAGCTGTATTCTCTTAATCATACCCCATATCAACACAAAAAGGGAATTATATACTTCAGCACGCACTAGCACAGAATATACATTACCATTCCAGATAGAGGGATGGGGTACAATGGGGAAATACTGAACCAAAGCAAGACCAACACCTAGCAGTGCAAGCTCCAAATCCTGTAGCTCTGTGTCCAATGTCAAAGGGTTCAGATGATTCTACCCTTCCAACCTTCCTGACTGCAACATACTTCTCTCTCCTGGGCTGGTTCTACTCCCTGCATGCAGCTCTGCTTGCCAGACATCTCATGGCTTTGGCATCTTCAACATCCTAGGGTCTCTAAACAGAATCCAGGCTTCACTTTTACAGCTTCCCTGCCATGTGTCTGGCCTCAGCTGTTCTCTTTAACCTTGGAGTAAGATTCCATAATCGCTTTACTCATATATCCTTTATAACTAAAGCCAGAAGCATGAAGTTGGGATGGAACCTGGCCTCCTTAAGCCACATTACATTTCTTGTTGCTTTGTAGCAGAAAAGTCCTCAGGCATTTCCTTTTTACAAGTTGGAATCATAGCTGGGGTAGGGTGTGAGGGTCTTGCTCTGAGGTCACTCCTCCCTTTATTCCATTTCTCATCAGGCCTTTCTTACCTCTTTCAGCACAAGCCCTGGCTGTAACATTAAGTTTCCTGGTTTTCTCTTCCTCTTCAAACCGTACACTTTGTATTTCTTTTTGCCCGCTTGCTTTTTTCACGATAGACCTGCATAAGGGTGATAGCTAATAACCACACAATGGAGTCAATATTAGGTCATCTTGAAATCTCCTCTGCCAAAACAAGTAGTTATTAAGTTTTCTATTTAGCCTTGGACAGATTCTTAGAGTATGGATAAAGATTGGCCACATTCTTTGCCAAAATACCATAAAAATGATCTTTAGTTTACTTGCTAATATTGTTTCCCTCTGAAACTTGTTCAGCTGGGCCTCCATAGTCCACGTTGTTCTCAGCATTTCTCTCTTCCAATCTCCTACGAGGACGGGTGGTTAAACTCTGCTTATAGCATTCAGCATTTTGAGTCCAAAGTTCCAATGTCTTCCAAAAAACCAGCATAGTCAGGCCTGTAACAGAAATATCCCACCCCCTGATACCAACTTCTATCCTATTTTTCTACTTGAATGAAATAAGGACATGGCTGCTCCAAGGTATGGTTGAGAAGGTTTTTATTATAGGAGAGAGAGAGAGAGAGAGAGAGAGAGAGAGAGAGAGAGAGAGAGAGAGAGAGAGAGAGAGAGAACAATCAGAGGCCTCTGGAAGAGCAGAGCAAGGAGAGAAACTAGTAGACTGAACGTGGCCAGCAGCCCGAAGCAGGTACTTTGGTATGCTGGTAGAACCACAGTTAGCCATTTGTACTAAGTTTCTTTTAGACCTGACAGTATTACTGTGATAAAAAACCATGACCAAGGCAACTTATAGAAGAACGAGTTTATTTGAGATTTACAGTTCCAAAGGGATAAGAGTCCATTGCCATCATGGCAGGGAGCATGGTAACAGGCAGGCAGGCATGGCATTGGAGCAGCAGCTGAGAGCTCACGTTGTAAAATAGCCATAAGGGTTCTACAAAGGAACAGAACTTATAGAATGATTCCCCTCCCCCCTTAGAATAGTTTGCAGTCTGTAATTCATCTACCAATGGAAGGTCCAAGAATCCAGTACTTGTTAAATCAACAAGTCTGGATGTCTTATCTGGTCTTTAGTAAAAGTCAGAATCCCGAAAAAGTAGATTGTGATGCTATTGAAGGAATGGATTTGCTGTCGAGACTGGGGGCAAGTTCCCTTCTTCTGTGTCCCAATTTAGGTGTTTTATTTAAGAAAAAAATCTCCAGTGGTGGTGCACGCCTTTAATCCCAGCACTTGGGAGGAAGAAGCAGGCGGATCTCTGGGAGTTTGAGGCCAGCCTGGTCTACAAAGCAAGTTCTAGGATAGCCAGGACTGTTACACAAATAAACCCTGTCTTGAAAAACCTAAGAAAAAGAAAGAAATCCCTCACAGGTGTACTCAGCCACTTGGGGTTTAGTTCATTCCAGATGTAGTCAAGTTGACAACCAAAAATAGCCATCACAAGTTCACCCCTTGTCAATTTAACATATATTCATATTTCCTCATGTTATGCTTGATTTCCAGATAAAAACAATAACCAGGTTGTAGTTACATCTAACATGATATAACTCTCCCACTTATAATCCCAAATAGATTGCAATATTCCTTAAGGAACATTCTTTTTTTATGTTTGTTTTTTCGAGACAGGGTTTCTCTGCGTAGCCCTGGCTGTCCTGGGACTCTTTCTGTAGACCAGGCTGGTCTCAAACTCACAGAGATCCTCCTGCCTCTGTCTCCCAAGTGATGGGATTAAAGGCATGTATCACTATCGCCCAGGTGATGTTTATATTTCATGGTAGAGAAACTGAGGAAAGAAACCATAAATATATGTGTAACTACATTCTTAACAAAATAGGGCTGAAACACTAATGTTAATTGTTTCTTCAGCTGGTCACATGCCCTTAGCTGATATTTATAACTACCTTCCTGGACTACCCATTCTTTATTTCCTCCACTCTCAGCAGGTCTTGGCTCTTTTCCTGGAGGAGTGACCCATACCTTCATTCCTGAAGGGTCTGTGCCTGCCCTTTGTCATTCTGCCTGGGTTATAGTGTTGTAGTTACCAGTTGACTTTAATCCTAGGGCATAGCACCAAGAGACAGACACCCTAAAGAATCACCTACACTCCACACATAATCCTTCTTACCCCCAGTGTGGAAAAGGAATCCAGTTTCCCCTTGGTAGTCTGGATCAATCACCCCTTCTAACAATGCTGTTCCTTTCTTAGTCTGTTGATTTAAGGGCGTTGGAGTCTGCTGGAACATCTGATAATAGCCACAGGATGAGTTCAAGGACCCCCTGGACCTGCTGTGAATCAGACTTCAGAAAAATTCCATTAATCACTTGACCTCCATAAGCCCCTTCTCTAACTGGAAGGCCACAACTTTTCTTGGAGAATCCTGGAAACAGCATCAACTTAGAACCATATCTAACAGACCCGGGAGAGTCTGATTGTTTCCTTTCCCCAATGTACAGTTACCCTTGTAAAGGCTGCAGGTCCCTCTGGGGAAGGACTTGAGAAAGGATAATAGTAAAACTCTTAAGTATTTTATCAAAGGCTTTCCTCAGAGGAACCTGGCCATCCCTTCATTCAAGGGGTTTTGGGTCTGCAGATTCGCTCAAGTCTGGAAATCGGTTCACAGGCCTAGATTCCCTTTTCCCACCATCTAATGTAACCTTTCTTTCATTTGAGAATTTTTCTGCTTAAAAAGATCAAACAAAAATACAGTAGGCTTCTTATCTATTTCATGCCCGGAAACACCAGGATTGATTAGCCAGCACCAAAGGTCCATATTGTGAGTCATGCCACCATAAAAGTCACTTTGTGCTGACCATTCCAATTACTAGATCACCTTGCCTTTGGCAGTTAATTCAGTGCTGCCAGCTGGCCCCTGCTACTTCTGGGCCCAGTACAACCCATTGCATTTAATTCTTCCACGCCAAGGCCTAGCACAAGGGAAAAGGTGACAACGAAGCTCTTCAATGTGCTGGTGCCTGTCACCATTACTCAGCTAGTGAAGGGCGTGTCCTCTGGGCCTTCCCACTAGGTTTTACATAGTGTATCCACTCTAGCATTATAGTTTCTCTGAGCCTAAAATCCCGTCGTCAACGCTAAGCCAAGAGAAATCAGGCATCTCCAACTCCTTCTCAGTAGGCCATCTTTGGGCAAAAGACACCTTTAAAAAAAAACTGAGTGTCCATATTAAACGTAGAATCTCCAGTCAGTGGGCTCATATCAACAAACTCAACCTGATCCAGTTGTTCCTTCTACCATTATCCCATACCCTTAAAACCCATTCCCACAAGCCGTGTGGTGGTGGTGCACACCTTTAATGCCAGCACTCAGGAGGCAGAAGGGCAGGCAGATCTCTGTGAGTTGGTGGCCAGCCTGGTCTACAAAGCTACACGGAGAAACCCTGTTTTAAAAAAATCGGTGGTGGCATAGGCCTTTAATCCTAACACTTGAGAGGCATAGGCAGGTGGATCTCTGTGAGTTCAAGGCCAGCCTGGTCTACAGAGTGAGTTCCAGGATAGCTAGGGCTGTTACACAGAGAAACCTTGTCTGGGGGGGGGGGAATCCATTCCTACGCATGTTCCCCAGACTTGTGCTTGATCGCATTAACAAGCTCGTTAAGCTCATTAGTGGTGTGGTGCACCTCATGGACTGCACTCTCCACCTCCCCTCCAGAGCCTGCTGAGCCTTAGGCCTCATAGGTCTAGAGGCAACTGTTGTCCAGCCATGAGGGACATCAGTACTGTGTTGTCTGGCATTTCCTTCAGACATAGTCACTGCTGGTTGAGCAGACAGTGGAAGATTGATTTCCTCAGTCAAAGGCAGAATAGGCCGTATTTCAGAGTGTTGGATGGGTGTGCATCCTCTGCTGAGGTGGGGAGAAGATGGCCTCAGGTGAGATAAACCCTTGAGAGCCTGGGGGTTCAAAGTCCTCGGCTCCAGTAGAGTTCCCCCACTCATCCCCATCCCAAGTTACCCAAGTTACCCGGTCTCACTCTTGACAAATTAATGTCCTTACTTTAGCTGCTGACACCTCATGTGCTGGGACTCACAGGTGTACTCTGCTGCTTGGGTTTTAGTTCATGTCAGATGTAGTCAACTAACAAACAAGAATAGCCATCACACCAGCTGTTCAAATACACGAGCCCTTGGAGGCCATTCTCATGTTTAACTCCACAGCGAGATAACTCCCCCGGGGCTGGCCTTGTGTACATTGCCGCAGCCTGGCCTGGAGCCTCACTGTCAAGGACCAGTCTGAGTCTAGTAAGGGTGGCAACAGCAACCCTAACCTGGTCCCTCCTATATCTGCCAGACGTCTGTGCCTGGCCTTGCCTTCCCCTGCACCTCATCGCACCGTCTTACGGCTCCTTCACTTCCCTGTACTCCTCCCTTTCTTCACACTGTACTCATGGTTTCCACGTAGGTTTCCCTAGCCACCCGATCTCCTCTTCTCCCTGCCTTGCATTCACCTGTGCCTACTTTGTCTTGGTACCCTTCCTGGCCTCCGCCTTAAAACTGCCTGGCTCCTCCTATTTCTGCCACGCTTCATCTCCCAGTGCTCCCAGCCTCACCTTCGCTCTCTCTTCTCAGCATCCTCAGGGTCTTACATTGAGGCTAAATCCTTCCTCTGCTTGTCTCCATCCTTCCTTGTTGTACATTCTCCCTGAAGGAGGAAAAGACTGAGACATGGACCTTTCTGGCCCTACTGTCCCCAGACATCTGTGCCACCTCCGTGTGTTTTATCTGGCAGTTGAATCTCACAAGTGAATGTGTGTCTGGATGAGCCTCATGGTTCCATGCACAAGCCAGAAGGTACTCTTGGTATCCTGTAGGGCTTGCATTTGCCTTGTTCTGTCGAGTCAACTGTGACCCTGTGGGAGCCGCACTGCTGTGGGTTTAGGAGATAGTCTGTGAGGATGAGCATGGCTCCCACTCAGCAGGTGACATGGGAATCCCTATGCTGCATTGCAGATGTTCCATTGGGGGCACGGCTTCTACCTCTTTCTGCTTGTTCCTCAAGCCTTCATCTCTCTGCCTAGGTCATCTTCCTGGAAAGACGGGTGTCAGAGCTGGAGAAGGATAGTGCAGCTGCTGGGGAGCAACATGGCAGGCTGAGGCAAGAGAACCTCCAGCTGGTGCACAGGTGAGTGTGCCTGTGCCTGGCCCCGCCCACAGCCATCACAGCATCACTCGCCCTGCGCTCTTCCTCACCAAGCAGGATCTGCAGAGAACTAGCTCTTACCTGGTACCATCCATCCATTCGGGGACTGGGTGAGTGCCAGGTATGGCCAGAGGACTATGGCAGGTTGATCTGAGGCTCTGACCTGAATTATATCTGCCACAATGTTATAGACAGTAGGTCCCCAGGAAAGTGATCCAGGGTCAACTTGACTGCGTGTAAGCGAGACAGTTCTGTGTACCACAAGCAGTTGGGGAGGTACAGCTTAAAACAGAGAGCTGGGCATTGTGATGCATACATATGCACGATCCAAACACTTGGGGAGTGTAGGAGGGTCTCGAGGTCAAGATTATTCTTGGCTATATAGTGTGTCCAAGACCAACCTAAGCTATATGAAATGGTACTAGAGAGATAGCTCAGTCTGTAAAGTGCTTGCTTGGCAAACATGGAGACCTGGGTTTTATCCACAAATCCCATGTAAATGCTAGGCATGAGGGCACACAGTTGTAATCCCAGCATTTGGGAGGTAGAAACAAGAGGACCCTTTGGGCTTGCTGGCCAGTGTAGCCTAATCAGTGGGCATCAAAAGAAGTTGACAGTGTTCCTGAGGATGACACTCTAAGTTGTCCTCTGTCTTTCACATGCATAGACAACACACACGTGCTCTTGCGCATGCATGCACACACACAGAGAGATTTTAAGATTTTAAAACAAGGTGTTGGAGAGATGGCCTAGCAGCTAAGAGGATCCACGTTTGTTTACCAGCACTCACATGGCAGCTTGCAACTCTGTAAGTCCAGGTCCAGGGAATCCAACACCTCATCTGGCCTCCACAGACACTGCACACATGTGATGTGCAGACAAAACACCCACATAAAATAGAAATAAAACAAATCTTTCAAAAATTAACCAATCAATAAATCATGTGGAGAGAGGCTCAATAGTGGAGCGCGTGCTATATAAGACTCTCAAAGTGGGGGCTATCACTGCACCAGAGCCTCTAGGCCAGTTTTCTGGGGTTTTGGTTTTTTTTTTTTTTTTTTTTTTTGGTTTGGTTTGCTTTGCTTTTTCAGAACATGGTTTCTTTGTGTAGCCTTGGCTGTCCTGGAACTCCCTCTGTAGACCAAGTTGGCCTCAAACTCACAGAGATCCACCTGCCTCTGCCTCCTGACTGCTGGAATTAAAGGCTATCGGTCATTTTTCTGAAGCACTTGGTACTCTTTGTGGAGCTGACCCAGGCTCCATCTGCAGCCAGTTCATAGTATGGGAGCCTCTGATAACTCTGTCTCTGAGAACCTGCCCTGGGGAAAACATTCCAGCCATGGCATTAGTCCTGTGTTGAGGCTCTTGCTCCCCTCATTCGTCCTTCAGTAACTGTGGGAGGCAGACACTTTCTCTATTTTCCAGATGAGGAAATGGAGTCAGTGCAGCTTACATGGTTTCCAGGACCTCAGAGGACATCAGGTAGGGGCTGTGGGGCTGAGGATAGGGCCTTGACCTGGAGGAACAGGTAAGGAAGGTCCTGTGCCAGGGCCTGGCCTCTGCAGACAGCAGCCTTTTCAAGCAGCTTAGCCAAAAAGTGAACTGAACAGGAAGGCAGGTTGTGTGGTCTCCTCTCATGGCGAGGCAAAATGTGGTAGCATGCTGTCTGCATAGAGCAAAAGAAAAGAGGCAGGGATATGGTGAGTTCAAAGGGAGCCTGGGCCACAGTGACACTCTGTTTCAAAAAACAAGGAGGGGGAGAAGAATTGAAGAGACCAAAGAGGTGGAGATGTGGCGCTTGTGCCTCTTGCAGAGGACTTGAGTTCAGTTTCCAGCACCTGCATAGCAGCTCACAACTGTCTACAACTCCAGCTCCAGCATATACTGCCTCATGGGCGGGCATAAGACACACATGGAAGCAAAACACACATGCACATAAACCAAAACTTAATCTTTAAAAAAGAAACGATAAGGAGCCACGTCTGGGGTTGTGTGCCTGTAATTCCAGCACTTAGGAGGCGAGGGGATCAGGAGCCCTTGGAGATGTGTTCTGAATGTGGCTGACCTTCCTAAGAAAGACCTGTGCTGCTAGTTTTTGCATTCCCTGGATGTCTCCATGTGGCTCTCAAAGGTTTCTGTGCTGAGTATTGACTTTGAGTCTTTAACTCTGAGTGTGTGTGTGTGTATGTGTGTGTGTGTGTGTACAGATTGAGGCAGTTGGTTCTTTTTTTCTTCCCTGTGGTTTCTAGGACTCAAACGCAGGTAGTTAGGCTTGATGGCAAGCACATTTACCTACCAGGCCGTCTTGCCAGCCCTTCAGGGGGACTCCTAAAGCTCTGTCTACAATCTCTTTTCTTCAGCCTTTACTTTTTTTTTGTTTGTTTGTTTGTTTTTGTTTTTTTTTTTTTTGTTTTTCGAGACAGGGTTTCTCTGTGGCTTTGGAGGCTGTCCTGGAACTCACTTGGTAGTCCAGGCTGGTCTCAAACTCACAGAGATCCCCCTGCTTCTGCCTCCCGAGTGCTGGGATTAAAGGTGTGCGCCACCAACGCCCGGCTCAGCCTTTACTTCTTTTGGTCATAATAGATATACTTGAACTTTAATTTTCTTCATTTTCATAATCTCTAATGTTATCACTCTGTCCCTTGCTGGAGTCAGCTGAGGGTTGTGTATATGCTGAGTTGGTTTTTGTTGTTCTTATTTTGAGACAGGGTGTGTGTGTGTGTGTGTGTGTGTGTGTGTGTGTGTGTGTGTGTGTGTGTGTGTGTGTGTGTGTGTGTGTCCTGGAATTTGCTCTGTAGGCCCCACTGGCCTGGAACTCAGAGATCAGTCCCTGTCTGCTGGGATTAAAGGTGTGACCTCTGCACTTTTTTTTTTTTTTTTTTTGAGACAGGGTTTCTCTGTGACTTGAGGCTGTCCTGGAACTAGCTCTTGTAGACAGGCTGGTCTTGAACTCACAGAGCTCCCGCCTGCCTCTGCCTCTGCCTCCCAAGTGCTGGGATTAAAGGCGTGCTCCACCACCGCCCGGCCTGCACCTGACTTTAAGAGTTGTTTTTAAATATGTTCTTCCCATAGCATGCCACTCTTATTTCCTCACAGTACCAGACATAAGGCTTTCCCAACTGTAGATGCCTGTATGATGTGTTAGTTTATGTGTGCTACCAAACCCCTGTGCTGTCTGCTGCTCTTCACTGGTCTTCATTCTCAGACAACAAAGAGGGGCTACGGTGTACATGCTGGGGCTAGGACTTTTTTCCACAGCTGTGGGCGGGGCTGGTAGTACTTCTCTCACGGATTACCTCTGATCGTCCCCAACTTCTGCAGGAAGCTGGGGAAGAGGCCAGAGTCTCAAGCCTTATCAGGGATCTTCTTTAAGTGACCCTGGAGGGAACTAGGTGCACAATGAATCCTTCTCTCTGGGTGCAGCTCCAGGACAGCCTTTATGTCCACATGTACCAAGCAGCTGGTCTAGCCTCCCAAGTGTCACCACAGCTAACTGCTGCCAGTGAGGTCTGGACTTGCCTCAGCAGTGTGGACTTGGTTGCTTTCTACATACTGCTGTGGCCCTCAGACCCCAACACTTTCTGGTGCTTTCTTCAGGCCTTACTTGACTGAGTTTCTAGTGGCCTCCTTGGGACAGCTGCTACCTGGTCAGTGCACAGTGCCTCAGAACAAACTTCATATACCTTACAGATATGTACATTTCCTCCCCTTTTCCCTTAGAGCCAATGCCCTGGAAGAGCAGCTGAAGGAGCAGGAGCTCAGAGCCCAGGAGAGGGTCCTGGAAGAAACCAGGAAGCAGAAGGAGCTCCTGTGTAAGATGGAGCGTGAGAAGAGCATTGAGATCGAGAACCTGCAGGCCAGGTGAGCAAAGCTCAGGAGCAGGCAGCAGAAGCCCGCCCACCTGGAGCCAGAAGGAGAAGCTTCATAACAGAAAGGGCACTGACGTGTAACAGCCCTAGTTGTCCTGGAACTACCTCTGTCGACCAGGCTGGCCTTGAACTCACAGAGACCCTCCTGCCTCTGCCTCCTGAGTGCTGGGATTAAAGGCATGCGCCACCACAGCCCTGCCAAAAGTTCTTTTTTAATTTTTAAATTACATGAATTCATTATGTGTTTGTGTGTATGCATGTACAAGTGTGAAAGCCAAGAAGACAACTTGTAGGAGCTGGGCTGGTTCTCTCCTACCATGGGGGTTTTGAGCATTAAATTCAGATTCAGTTGAACATAAGGCCAGCCTGGGGAACAGAGACTTCATCTTCCTACCCATCCTTTAATCCCAGCACTCAGGAGGAAGAGGCAGGCGGATCTCTGTGGGTTCCAGGCCAGCCTGGTCTACAAGAGCAAGTTCCAGGACAGCCTCCAAAGCCACAGAGAAACCCTGTCTCGAAAAAGCCCCCCCCCAAAAAAAAGAGGTAGAAGCTAGAGGATGAGGGATTCAGGGTCATCCATGTCTACATAGGAAGGCTGAAGCCTACCTGGGTTTCATAATACTCTATCTCAAAAGACAAAACCAGATAACAAAGAAGCGGGGTGTTGAGGTAAGGACTGGCCATGCATTTGGGATTATTGTGGGTCACAAAACAGCCCCCAGGGAGTGAGTGAGTATTCCTCTAGAGCTAGGCCTTGTCCTGTGGAGACACATTTTAGGGGGACCGTGTCCTGACCTATTCTGGTGTCCCAGGTTGCAGCAGCTGGATGAGGAGAACAGTGAGCTGAGGTCCTGCACTCCTTGTCTGAAAGCCAACATCGAGCGCCTGGAGGAGGTGAGCTGCTGGCCCGGCGCATGTGGGAAGGCCCTGCCTGGAATGAACAGTGGCCCTGCCCTCTGCCTGACAAATCAGCGTGGAGCCATAACATGAGGTCATGGTCTTCTGGGGGGGTGAAGGTGGGGCAGGTTGGTAACTCTGGGCCCTGCTGTGTTCAAATGTGAAGGGGCTGCTGTTAGACATTTGGCCCTACCCAGCCTTTCTACTCTCCCATAGACCTGGGATCTGCAGGCCCAGGGCCCACACTGTCTACTCATGTCTGAGTTCACTAAAAGATGGTCTTACACACCAACAGCAGAGGCAGTCTGGTAACTTCTAGTCTTCAACAGAGAGGCCAGTCCTCCAGATACCTTCATACAGTGCCTCTGGGATGGTCTGAAACCAGAATATTTCTAGCCGACTTAGACTCTGACTCTTATAAGTCAGAGGAAGAGCCGAGCAGGAGCGCCCCACAGATACTGGGATAGATCTTGTCCATATGAAGGTCCTCTGGCCCCAAGGTAGGGCAGCTCTGATAGGATGACAGGAAAGCACAGACATAGTCCTGTCAGGAAGTGGGAGCCATAATGTCTGCCACTGGGCTGGGAGATGGACGGTATAGAGCATAGGCCACTGAGTTAGGCTGATATCCAGTAAACTGGTGCCATTGAGTACATGTCCACACTGGGGTCTGTTTTTGCAGGAGAAACAGAAGATGCTGGATGAGATTGAAGAGTTGACTCATCGGCTCAGTGAAGAACAGGAGAATAAGAGGAAGATGGGGGACAAGCTGAGCCATGAGCGACACCAATTCCAGAGAGACAAGGAAGCAACTCAGGAGGTGAGCAGGGCCATTCGTCCCTCCCCATGTTCCCATGTTGTCTGATGTTGCCTGCTCCCTGATAGAGGCCAGGAAACCCTTTTTGTTTTCTAACACTCTGGTATGCAGCAGTCTCTTGGAACACAGATCAACACCCTCCCAGGAGAGGGTGGTCAGGCCAACTAACGGGAGCCCACCTTGTGGTTGCCTCTCAGCTGATCGAGGACCTCCGCAAGCAGCTAGAACATCTGCAGCTTCTCAGACTTGAGGTGGAGCAACGACGGGGCCGCAGCAGCAGCCTGGGCCTGCAGGAGTACAACAGCCGTGCACGGGAGAGTGAACTGGAGCAGGAGGTCCGCAGGCTCAAACAGGTGTGTTCTGCCTTTCCACCTACCCTCACCGAGGCTCATAAGAGGGGGCACCAAGCTAAGGTCTTTCCTGGAAGCTCCTTGTCCCAGCAAGGGCCCAGTGTAACACTGCCATGTCCCCTAGGACAACCGAAACCTGAAGGAGCAAAATGATGAGCTAAATGGGCAGATCATCACCCTCAGCATCCAGGGTGCCAAGAGCCTCTTCTCCACATCCTTCTCTGAGTCACTGGCTGCAGAGATCAGCTCTGTCTCCCGAGATGAGGTAGCTTGTCCTGCCTTTGTATACCCCTAGGTCTGTTTGTTCTGGGCAGGTACCTTCTGCTCGCTGTACTGACCCTTTGGTTTTCTGCAGCTCATGGAAGCAATCCAGAAGCAGGAGGAGATCAATTTCCGCCTGCAGGACTACATTGACAGGATTATTGTGGCCATCTTGGAGACCAACCCATCCATCCTCGAGGTCAAGTAGGACATCTTAGCCCAGTTTGGGCTGGTTATAGACTCCACAGCACCCCAGAGTGGCCAAGCCAAGACCAGCAAGCCTAGAGTGTATAGAGGCCTCATGCAGCTGGACTGGGAGAGTAAAGATAAGGGCTGCAGAGAGCAGTAAGGAGGAAGAAAGGGAGGCGGACAGCAGACGAGGAGTGAGGCTGGGCTCCTTGAATGTCAGGAAGCCAGGGCCTCCCTCCACAAGCTGGCCTAGCCAGCAGCACCCATGTCTGCTCAGCAGAATGCAAATGTGTAGGGATAGTCTGTCAAGCTGGGAGGGGCCCCTCAGTGACTCTCTGACAAACCCCTTTTCCTGTTATGCAGCCTGTTAGGAAGAGAGGGAGAAAATGAATCTTCACCTCAGTTGCTGCCTCTCACTCATGTTGACATGGTGCCACCAAAGCTTGACCATCCCCATGTGGTATGCAAGCTGAGGACCCACGAGTTGGACGTAGACATGGTAGTTCTGGAGACACAGGCAGGCAGAGACGGCACATGTGGGATCTGGTCCGGAGCCACAGGCTGCCTGTTCTCCTTGCGCTGCTCAAGCCTTCTCCCACCAGATGGGCTTCCATTCACCTTTGGACCCAGGGCCTCCAAGCCACACAGCCATTCTTTGTCCAGACTCTTACACAGTAACTCGTCAGCTCCGGTCCTCTCGTGGGGGCCAGGGCAGCTAGTTCATGCTGACTGTGGAACTCACTTCCTGGACTGGTGAACACCCAGGTGCAGGTGCTGCTTCTTCTCAGGTGTGGCCTACCCTGGCTCCTGGACCCACACCCTCCTCAGGCTGACTTTACTGCCTTGGGAGAAGTTGACATTTCCGAGACAGTAGTCTAGGCCTCTGAAACAAAATTTCCTTCTCTGCTTTTGACTTTAAGTCCCTGGGTCCCCAGGAGTCATTTTGCTGGTGGGTAGGTGGGTGGACAAGACTCCACACAGACCCAGAGGCAGAGGAAGGCTTGCTGCTTGCCCCTGCACTACTCACAGAGTGCACCTCTCACAGAGTGCAGCATCCATGGGCCTGAGCCTGAGCACTAGCCCCGGAATCTGGACACACTGTGTGAGACCACACCGTAGGCTGTGTGAGTGTGTGTGTGTGTGTGTGTGCGCGTGCGCATGCATGAGTGTGCACACAAGTATGAATGTTTGTATGCTTGTGCCCACACATGCTGCCCTGCATCCCTTCACTGCCTATCCCCCCCCCACCTTCTACACTACAGTTTAAGATGTTGCCTCGTATTGTACATTTTGGGGAAAGCCTTGTGTGTAAATCAGTGTAAACTTGGAGGAGAGATTTTTCTATCATGTAGAGTAGGTATTTTTTATAGATTGAAGGTTGATCAATTTTTTAATACTTTCCAGAGAGAAAACTATCTGTGTATACATATGAAATATATATATATATATGTATAATATATCAATACTGGAGCCCTGCTTTTCTGTGCCCAGGTCCAAGTCCTACATAAGGGCTTGTGGCCTATCTCTGCTGTCTGCCCTGCCGTGCTCACTGCAAACACGGGTCTCCAGGAGACACTGGGAAACACATCAATCACCAACTTGCTCACAGTATCTGCTTCCGCTCCCTGAGAAGTAGCTCTTCCTCCAGGGCATGGAAGGATGGGAGGCCATCAGGATCCTGTCCCATGTCATCCACAACAGATTAAAGCTGTTACCGCACACAGAGGCCGGCTCCTTTCTCCACTGGGGTGGTGGGTTGGTGGGGTGGGTGGTTATGGGCCTGGCCTTGCTTTCCTTGGGATTCTAGGGATGTGTCATTTAAGTACAGACCTTGGGACACCCTTTGTTTTCTGCCTTGATCAGGTTGTGCCCTCCCTGAGGGCCCAGGATCACTCCTAGGATGGGCTCTTTCTGGACAGAGTCTGGATCCTGAAGGGAGTAGCTCTACTGAGAATCCCTTCTAAAGACAAGGTCTCAGTGACCTCCAAGGCCCCTTTCATGTAGGGGCCCAGGAGGGCCACAGTAAGCCTCAGTTGAGGTTGGTAAATGGGCAGAACAGGGAGTATAGGTGTGGATATCACAAATCTCAGGCACAGTGCTCTTACCCCTGGGCTACACATCCTGTGTCTGAGAGGAGTTGCTGTGTAGTGTGGTCAGGGATGAAATATTCAGAGCCATAAAGAGTGGGAGGAGGAACATCCCCAGGAGGGCCAGCAGAGAACACCAGAGCAGGGAAGAGAATAGGCAAAAGCCAGCAGCAAGTGTGGCTCAAAAGTCAGTCTGAAGAGCTGAAGGACTTCTGAAGACTTGTGGCATGGTGGTCACTGACATCACCATGGAAGTACTAAAGGGTGTGACCAGAGCAGCCCAGGTTCTAACCATGGGCATTTGACTGGTACTACAAAGGCCCATTTGTTCCTAGGAGAAGCTAGAAACAAAAGAGGACATCACCACAGCCTGATGGCTCCTCAGTTTAACTTCCAGTTAAGCATGGTCTAGTCAACCCCTAGTGAAAGATCCTGAGGGCATTGAACCCAAAAAAAGACAGTTCCCCATTTGGGATATGGTGGAAGGGGATCAAATGATTGAAATGGGTTGTTATTAGAAGCATTCCAGAAAGAGCTGCCCAAGAATTTCTTGTAGGGGGCCAAACGCCTAGAGGGTAATTCTAGAAGTTGGTATCCCCTAGAAGGCTCCTCACTATACCTCTGAAGGAAGAGGTTATGGAGGGAGTGACCATTGGAGCTTGCCAACTCTCCATCCTGCAGCCAGCAGAACTCTCTTCCTAAGGCAGATTCTATCTCCAGTTGGCGCTTGGAATTGCTCTTCTCTTTCCAGTATTGGTCAGTTATCCATTCAAAATAGTATAAATAGCCAGGTATAGTGATGCGTGCCTTTAATTGTAGCACCCTTGGAGGCAAAGGCAGGCAGATTTCTGTGAGTTTGAGGCCAGCCTGGTTTACAAAGCGGATTCCAGGATGGCTAGGGCTATTACACAAGAAACCCTGTCTCAAAAAAAAAAAAAATAAATGAAATCTTGGCCTCTGCAAATTTAAATTGACACCAACCTTCCTGACCACCCTGGGAACACCCACCCATAAAGGTGCCTTACTATCTGGTTAGAACCCAGGGAAGCTGCCCTGAACTTTCTGGCATTTTGGAACCCAGAACATAACAGAAATTTCAGCCAGGAACCTCCGATTGGTTTTTTTTCTTATTAAGTGCATTGGTGTTTTGCCTGCATGTATGTCTGTGTGAGGGTGTCAGATCTTAGAGTTACAGACAGTTGGAAGTTGCCACGGGAGTGCTAGGATTGAACCCAGATCCTCTGGAAGAGCAGTCAGTGCTCTTAACCACTGAGTCATCTCTCTAACCCCTCCACTTCTGTTTATTATGAGGTTGGTGTTCTGGCTTATGTCATGGAAGTCAGGGAAACTTAAATCTGAGTTTTAGACCAGATTGGCGCAGCTGCCAGTCATGCTTAAGCAGGAGAAGACTACTGGGTGTTGATTCATTGGAGATTTCTGACTCTCTAATAGCTTCTGAATCTCACTAGACCTAGGGTTTCATATGTGCTAGGTAAGCACTCTCGCTGAACCATATCTGCAGCATGCACCTGTATAACTACCTTTGGGGGGCGGTGTTGAGACAGGGTTTCTCTGTGTCGTCCTGGGCTGTTGTGGAACTCTGTAGACCAGGCTAGCCTCAAACTCAGAGCGATCCATCTGACTCTACCTTCCAAGTGCTGGGATTAAAGGCATGCACCACCACCACTCATAACTATACCTTTGTTTGTTTGTTTTATTTATTTATTGAGACAAGGTCTTACGTGATTTGGGTTATCCTCAAACTCACTATGTAACTGAGGATGGCCCTGATCTTCCTGTCTCTACCTCCCAACTTTGGAAATCATACGTATGTTTCACGGCCTCCCCACCCTGACAGAATCTCACTTTTTAGCCCTGACTAAAAAGTGATCTGCCTGCCTCTTCCTTAGTATAAATGCTGTGATTAAAGGAATTTACCATCATGCCTCACTCCTACTTTTTGAGAAGGCTATTGATCATGCTAACCTTGAACTTAACTTTCTAGCTTAAGCCAACTTTGAATTTGTGACTTTCCTGTCCCAACCTCCTGAATAAGTCTATACACCTATACTCACACTAGGTCTTCTTTTCTTAATGTCCCCAAAGCCCAGAACAATTCAGGGTCCCATCTGCTCAGGACTCTGGTTTTTAGTCTGTGGTTTCTGTCTCTGCAGAGGTTTCTCTGCCATTCTTGACCCCTACAAGCTGTCCTGTTGTCTAATGACTCATCAGGGTTCTAGCTTATGGCCCATACCACACTAGCATAGATCAGAGCTCAGTCAACAACCTGGGATGATCCAAAGTCTCCTGTTGTGTGGTCAGCTTAATGGGATGCACCATAGCATAGTGACTGGAGATGCTGCAAATCCTGTCCTGGATCCATCGTTGCCATTCCTCTGACTCAACCATGAGCCTCACCTACTGATGAGCTGTCAGTCTAGTCAGTCTTCTGGTGAATGACCTATCCTTCCCACGATGATAGGCCTTGCTTCTAGTTTCTCCTTGTCTCCATAATGCCTGACTCGCCAAAGAATCCTTGGAGTGACTGCTCATTGCTGAGTTAGCAGTAACTTCAACTAATGTGTCAATGGCTTAACCCCAGCTGCTTCTCTTGGAGTGCCCAGATGCCAAATTCTGCTCCAATGTTGCCAAAATGTGCTGTCATCCACATTTAGACACAGGTGTCCCACAGGGCATCTTGGGTTCAGTGGCTTCTCTTTGGCTTCTGGAGCATGAATGATTTCCCAGAAAGTACCTGTAGGCCCTACCTAGCCAGGCTCAGGTGTTCTGGGTCCTGGGGCAAATGTCACCCAATACATTATCCAGAGTGCAGGGCATCCAGGGGCTTCTTTTTGGTATGTGGTGCCTTCTCTGCAGCCTGATTCTTAGTGCAGAGGACAAGTGGCTAGGAGTAACGCAGTTACTTCTGGCCAAAGGGCCATAAAGGGAAGCTTGGGAGATCTTATGAACATCACTCATAGGGCTTGGGGAGATGTCTTAATTAGATGCCAGTGTTTCTCTGGGAAAAGTGTTATGTCCATCTGGCACACATGAGTAACCTGGGACCTCAGACCCAAGCAGGTCCTGCATGATTACTACTTCAGACTACTTGGACAGAAGCCACAAGTCGTTGAAGGGGTTGGGAGAGGTGAAGAGCAATCCATACAGCCAGGCTGGGCTGGATCACCTTCTGACTCAGCGCCTCAGACCACTGCCTCGGACCTTGTACAATATCAACATCATCCCTCATGCACTGAGACTCAGTCAATGAGGACGCTCGCCGGAGCTTTGCCCAGAAGTCCCTCGCAGAGCATCCTGGGAACTGTAGTCCATTGTTTCCCCGAATCTAGCGCGCCTCATTAAACTGGCATGGGGGTACCACCTGAATCGGTGGACTGAGCTGCTCCTGCTGTGTTGGGAAGACAAGATCTCAGGGAAAAGGGGCCCATAAATACGGCCGTCCGTGGACTACAACTCCCAGTGTGCCTTGAGCGACGTCGCTCTGCCCTGTGGGAGACGTAGTCCCGGCGCGATTCCCAGTGCCGCGTGCGCCCCTAACGCGCCGTAGCCGCGGGCCCCGGCTGGGCGCCACGCTACGGAGGAGGCGTAAGGCGTACCGGGTGGGCCGGGCGGGACGGCGGGCGCTACGGAGGCGGCGTAAGGTTGCCGGGCCGAGACTGGAGCTTCGGGGCCGAAACGCGCTAAGCCGGCGGAGTATCGCGGCGGGCGCGAAGGGGGCCTTGGTGCCCTCCGGTAGAAGTTGTGGGTCAACCGACGGAGGGCCGGCATCAGGGCCGCGCCCGCCCAGCCCGACCGCGAGCGCTGAGGAGGCGCCGCCGGCTCGCTAAGGTGAGTTCCACGGTAGGCGGTGGGCCAGCCGGCCTAGGACTCCGAAGAGCTCGGCCTCCGGGCATCAGCTCGGATATTTCGTGTTTGCCTTGGGAGCAGCAGCGTGGCTTGTGGCAAGCACTGGGGGGGGTGCTGGTCGTATGGGTCACTCGAGGCCAGCCCAGGAACCTCAGATGCAGGCGACCCTCAGTGCCTTCCTGTCCTTGAGTGCCCTCTTGTCCCGGACTAAGCGTTGGCCCACACTGTATCAGGGTGTACGTAGTGGACGCACGATCTGCAGAAACCTGCAGCTACCTGGGGCATCAGCGAGAGTAGCGCGCAGGGCATCCTGTGTGCCCTCCCATCCCACACTTCATTTTTTGTGGGCCTGTCAGTAGCCCGGGAAAGTTAGAGTGGTCCCTTGACAGCTGAGGGATTTTCCTTTCTTTTTTCTTTTTCTTTCTTTTTATGTCTGAAAAGAGGGCCCTTCCAGTTCTGATCTGGGAACCCTGTTGTGTGGCCAGATGGCCCTTGCTGCGCTGGCCCTCAGGATCCCTGGAGTGCCTGTAGTTTGTTACTAGACACTGGTAACAGGACCGTGAAACACCTAGACTCTAAACAGGATACCTTTCTGATCTTCAGGACTCTATAAACACCCAGGCCCAGAACCTGAGAACCTTAGTGTGTGTTTGGGGTTGGCCCTGCAGCTCAGCAATACATGCATCAGAAAGAACCTCTCCTCAGTAAGGAACTGTGAGGTCTGCTCCTCCAGTGGCAGTTTCCCCTGTCCCAGTGTGGAGAGCAGTAA